TTGCCTGAAAGACATGATTTATTCTTGGGCACCTAGCCTAGGGCTTTTCATTAGTTACCCTGATCTAGTGTACTCAAACAGCATTTACTTTTCTGTTGATGGTGTGGCTCAGGGAGGTATAAACCTGTCTCTCAACTTCTTTCTATTGTTTAGAAGCGACACTGATTTGTTGAAATGGTCATGTAAAGCTATCACGACAAAGGGCCTTTGTCCTCTAATGGTTGTGGTTTGTTGTTAAATAAAACTCCTCCCTAGTGCAGTAGCAATTTTTTTTAGGAAAGGTTTATGGCAGAGTAGATTTGAGAACTAAACACTGAAGCTACACACTAGGAAACATCTTGGATCTTGGCAATGAAAATATTTCTGCACCCTAATTACTGCCTTTCTCTTCCTCACAGTATTCTTTTATAGAAAAACAAAAAGGCCCCGAAATTATTTGCAAAGGAGCTGTCATGCTCACAGTCAAACAAGGTGTCCTTTGACTGATGTTTTTTTTTTCATATTTTATTTGTGTATTTGTTTATTTAGATTACGGGCTGCCTAATTCCTCAATTACTCTGGGTGGCTTACTTAAAAAAACAACAACATATAGAATTGAACTCAGTAAAACAGCACAAATACCAAAACCAAATCAAAATAGATCATCTCCAAATCAAACAAAACGAAGGGGAAGAAAGGGTGGGGGATTGTGTGTACTACAATAACCTTGTCTCTAAATGCTCAAGAAGAATAACTAGGTTTTTGATAATTTCCTAAATGACTTAAGGATGGAAGCCACATAAATTCCAGAGGGCAGGCATTACAACAGAGAAGGCATGCTTTCTGCATCCTGAAAGATGACATTCTTTAATCAATGGGACCTGGAGTACATCCAGTCTGCTGGATCGGCACACTGAAATTAATTGGCAATCCGTGAAAAAGCAGTAAGCTTCTATGTGTCTAATATAGTGCATCCCTCACTGCTGTTCTTTGTTCTGGACTATCTGTAACTTCTGGATGGTCTTCAAAGCCACCTCATGAAGAGTGCATTACGGTAGTCCAAATGTGAGGCAAACAGGGCATAGAGGTCTTCCCAGTCCAGGAACCCCGAACGGGCACACCAGATGCCCTTGTGTAAAACACTGTGCTCATGGCTTCCACCTGCTTAATGAGCAGGAACTGATAGTCTAAAAGGGTTCCCAGATTGTGATAAGTCTCAAATGGGGAAATGCAACCCTTCTGAAAGTCAATAATGGAATATTTTCAGATCTGGTGGAACCTAAAACACAACATATTTATGAAGAAATATATTGTATGCTTCTTCCAATTTTAAGTTTCTCTAGCTTCCTTTCTGACATGTGATGAGTACTTATTTTCAATAACTCAGGGAATGATGATAAATGAAAAAAACCTGGCTTGATTAAATCATTTTGATTAGGGATCGATTCTTTTCATCTAATTTTTTCTCCATAGCATTTATCCTATAATAGGGATGGGTATGTATGATCATGCAGATGTTGATAGTTTTCATCCACAGCATCCTAATTCCATTGATTGTAATGCTGACAATTGTTTTGGAGTAGTGATTTGGTAACATCTGGCAGATTACATATCTTACTTGATAGCAAGCCATATTTATTCAATGGTTTTTAGATTCAGACTTTTTGATAGAAGTGGGTTTCTTGGCATGTGTATACACATACATATAGGCACTCTTATGTGATGAAACTGTGGTTCATTAGATTTATAGTACTCACATTTGCCACTATTAGAAAATCTAGAATGAATTACCCAGAAAAAAAGATGATCCTGAATAGTTCTAGAAGTAATCTTTAGGAAATACGGTGCTTCCACCTATGAAGCAGTATCCCACCATTGTATTCTTGAATTATCAGTGCAAATTTGTTCTTTTTTGTTTTCAACCAAGAAAAGATTGGCATTTTTCTGTATAAAATATAAAAAAGGACTAGACATTAAATTATTTTAAACCCACCCCTTATCCTCCACCCCGCAAACTGTTGAGTCATATGAGTCAACGTGCTGTAATTAACAAGCTGGACCATTTGGTTGAAAGCACAGAAAAACCTGGTTGAGCCTTTCTTATTCATGACTCTTCCCTTCCAGATGTCCTCTAGGCCAGACATGTCAAACACAGGGCCCAGGGGCCGGATGCAGCCCGCAAAGTGATTTCATGTGGCCCGTGAAGCCATCCTGGAAACAGTGAGGGAATGGCCCCCGCTGCCTTGGCCCTGGCCCAGGCCAGCCAGGAGCCAATGTACAATTTTGTGGTGGCCATCTATGCTGAAATGCATTCAGTTCCACAAGGCCGTCTAGAAACTGCGAGGAACCAACCCCTGCTGTGTTGGCCCCGTCCCCTGGGTGCCTGCTGGGGAGGTGTCACCCTTTGTGAAGAATGAAGAAATGGACCATGCCTTGGTGCTTGCCCCAGTCCCATTCCCTTTTGCCAGAGACCCTCAGATCTGTCCCACTCCTGCCCAGGCCCCCCTAGGCACCCTTGATGCGAACGATGTAGAGCTGGCCATGCCCACCCAGTAGGCCACACCCACTCCATCCACGCCTACCCAGTAGGTCACACCCACCCTGGCCGCCTCCCCGCCCCCCCGAGGGCAACCGCAATGTTGATGAGGCCCTCAATGAAATTGAGTTTGACACCCCTGCTCTAGGCCAAGCACTGAGAATGCCAGGGCGGAAAGCAGATTTCCCTCCTTCATGTAAAAACTACCAACAATGAAAGGCTTACATGGGAGTGGGAAGGAGAAAGGACAGGCTTTTTTTTTTTTTTTGCTTTTATGTTGGTTTCCCACTTTTGTTTACTAAAAGTCACATATGTAAGTCGTGGATATGTGAGGAATGTGCTCATGGCACATTCACATTAACAGCACTCACAAAAGGGGGTAAAAGAGCACTTGTAACTGTTAAACAGTTTAACGTGGGGGAGGGAGTTGAAGCACCATCTATAATAAATATTGAGATTTTGGGTATGATATCTGTGTGGTGTCTTTATTTTCTTGGACACTGAACAGCAGTTGCAAACTGTTTGAATAGAGATAACAGGAGGAGGCCTTTTTCCATCTGCTTGCAATTTAAGAACTCATGCAAATGTTCTCCTTTTTCCTTTAAGGCTGGAATACATAATGGAATTGCAGGCTTCATCCTTTACATATATGAATTTCCTTCATCCTCCATAGCACGACTGAGGATTATGTTATCTTTGCTAGTCCCCAGTTAAGGGAATAGCAGTGATAACATAACCTTTAATTCAGAATACCAATTAATGGATTTATACAAGCAGAACACATTTTTCAGCGTGGAATGAAATATCAAATAATGTTTTTGTTTGTTCTGTTCAATCTGTCAAAAAAAAGGCATAGAAAAATGTATAGATGTCTGAATTTTAGCCAGCCTTGTTACTATATTTAATTTATTTGCCAGCCATACTTATGTGCCACCCAAGTCAATAACTCTGGGCAACTCATTCAATTTACTTGGTACAAGTCTAGAAATTATATCTGTATTAATCTCTCATGCAAGGATAATATTTGTCAAATATGGATGGAGCATTTGTTAGATAAATTTTAGATAAAAATCAATATGAGCAAGTATGGGTTGTATGAATAATTGAAACAAGTTTAAATCCTAACAATGGCAACAAGTATTTTATAAATCTATATTTTGCTGGAAATAGAACAATTTTGGCTTCTTGAATGAAATTAAAATTTTGCATGATCAAAGCAGAAATTGTGTATGTGTGTATTATAATTATAATTTTGGCTTCTTGAATGAAGTTAGGTTCTTGGTTGATTAAAACAAATTTTGCATGTGTGTGGGTCAGTATCAGTGTCAGTAATATGCAGTGATACAGTAATATGCAGTGATACACATACACACGTCAACTTATTCATGTGATTTGTGTTATATCATGACACTGTGAATCCTCACTCCTTTAGGACTGGGGAGGAAGGAGCTACAAATCCACTCTTTTGCTTATATCAATTGATATACTCAGAAAAGTTTCCACTTTCCCAAAATCATCTATTGCGCAATTGATGTACTTGCCTTGTGTCACCATCCCGCAATAGTACAGTTAAACTGTTGGGTTCTTGTTGTTTTCTGAAGTTGGTATTACCAAACCAAGTAACATCAAGGCATGAAAAATGAAGCTTGTATCTAAAATACATAATTTTTGATCTATTTTATTCTTGCCGGACCTGTATCTTTTGCTTATCTATATTCTTCCTTTGCCTTCACCTCTGCTTCCTGGTGTTTTATTTCTGTTCATCCCAATCATTGTAGTTATATTTAACACATTATGTCAAAAATGTTCTTAGGCACTGTGAAGAATATAAACAAGTCTTTTAAGGTAACTTTTACAACTTTTACAGACTTAACCTATAGTGCCATACAGTGAAGCTGCCCTACATTTTAACCAGAAAATTCTTTTATATGTAAAGTACCACTGATAATTTTGACAGAGAATCTGGATCCCACAGGACAGAAGTAAAATGTGCATTTTCCCCCAAGAACATAGTTCTGGCATCCTCTTGTTATATTTATCATTGATGGAAAGATTTGAATGCTTAAAGTTTGATGACTTCTCCAATGCCCTGGGCATTTTATGACACACATGTCACATCTAGTCCTTCAGCTGTCCCTGTCCTGCCTGCAGTGTTGGCAGCATTAGCAGCACTGGTGGGGTGCTGGGGCATTGATGTTATGGGATACGGGCCATCAGGGGGGCATCCATGGGGGCAGGGCTGCGTCCCTCCATTACAAGTCCAGTTTCTCCTTGGCTCCTTGGGAAAATTAATTGCCCATTCCTGCTATAACCTGTGGACATTTACATGATTGGTTGAGGATCACTGCTTTATAGGATCAGTGCTAATCCTTGTTTATCTGCAGCTTCAAGAATGTTGAAAGTGCATGTTTATTCAGGTTTTTTTCTTTACAACAGATCTTGGGAACTTTATATATTCAGCTTTCTGTTTTCATTTTTATTGCAGAGCAAGGAAATTGGTCTTCAGATGCATGAAGAACTCTTGAAGGTTACGAATGAACTCTACACTGTGAGTAATTTTACCCTGGGACTTGTGTCATAACATTCAGGAATAAATATACATGATGACATGTGTGTGTGTGTGTGTGTGTGTGTGTGTGTGTGTGTGTGTAGGTCTGCTAATACAGAGTTAGTGTGATCAGTTCTGAAAATTTCCAGATATATTTGAAGCAATTAGGATTCATCAGGGAAAAGGATGCTATTTATATCAGAATTGAATTTCAATCCTTAAAACAGATTTTCTTCAATATGATTTGTAGATCAGTCTGAAATTGCATCATCTATTACAGTAAAAGATGGGAGTAGCGATTTTATCTTATTTCTTGGCTTTATTTTTCCAGAATGTTTTTCTCGTTGGGTCAATTCTTTTTCCATTTTAGCTTTTCTGATGTTCTGGCACTTAGTAGCAATACTTTTCTTTTTTTAAAATAGCTCTTCTGACATGTTTATAATTTGGTCTACCATTGTCTGTCCTTGATTTTAAATAGTTTAAATATTCCTCCTCCTCTTCTAACCATATTTGTTATTTATTTATTGTCAGCACTGGTATGTTGCTATTCAAAATAGGTTTCTTAGGGTAGCTTATAATACAATAAAGTGTTGGTAAATATTAGCAACATTGAAAATACTGCAATCAGAAGAGTGATATAAAGTATCTTTAGATATATTGTATACCTGCTGGGTGGTAAACAACTTAGTATAGTATTTTAACATAGTATTTTAACATATTTGGAGTGAATATAAGTTATTTGAGGAAACTAAAGTAATGGATGGGAGCCAAGGAAAGAGCTGGTTGCACAGATCCAGCGGTCAGACCAGTTCATTTTTCACTGAAGTGTTTTGCAACTTTCTTGGAGATGAAAATCACAACTAGATCAAACTAAGGTCTTGGCGAGACTTCCTGGTCTTTTGTAATGGATTTAAGTGATCCAAAAGGAAGTGATCCATAAGTTTTGTAAACCAAAACTTGGACTATGCAAGTAATGTGGTACTTCTGAGATCCTGATGCAACCATAAGTAGCCTATGAGAGTCATTGTTTAAAAAAGTGGAAAAAGTCAATTCAAAAAAGTTAGAAATTACAACTAGATTATTCATGATAATCTACATTCAACAGGGCATCTTAAATTCATTTAACAATCTTTGCAGTTTACAGTATATTTTTGATTATTGATGTTCAAGCAATACATTCAAAGTTTTTCCTCACAGTTTAATTCAATTTATAAACCAGTTTTGACTGATATTCTACCCGAACAATGCTTCTGTGTAATAATTATGAGCAAAATACACTGGTCTAAAATTTTTGTGTAGCTACAAAATTCTTAAACCTTGTCAAAATATCATGGCTTTATTAAATATTATTGCTTTAAAGAAACCTATTTAGCAAACACAACAGCATTTTTTAGAGATTTTTTAAAAAATGGTTTTGTATATGTGAGAAAAAAAGGAATGAGAATTGTAATAAGATAACTGAGTTACAGTTCAGATTTATGCATGACTGTCACAGCTGATTTGATCTTTATAATAATCCATTCGCTCAATAGGATACTCTAGTTCTTGTTGTGTTATCTGTGGCATATTTTTCTAAACAGAAAAATTAGTTCTTAAATCATGATTTGATGTCAGGATGCTTGAAAAATAAAGTGTTAAGATATTTTTAGGTGTTGTTTAGCGACTCGGTATTTAAGGGCATTAACTGGGAAAATGTTATCCTTGTCTTAGGCAAGGAGAATGTTTTTTGTAGAAGGAAAAAATTGGTAGCAAGTGGAACAGTATCATGGATGATGAATTATCTCAGGCCTGGGTTTTTGAACCACACTGTATCTAAGATAGCAAACTCTCAACTTAGATTCACAATTGCTTTGTATGTTACCTTTTTCATGTTACTATGCATTCTGAGAATGCAACGTTTTTGTTTGGGAATTATCTGGCATGCTATGCCTACCTGAATTTTGAATGCTTCTGTGGAAAAATGTGTTTCCTATTTCAATTTAATAGGATGATTATGTGAAATATTTGCATCATAGGAACTAGTGTATATTATTCAGAGCCTAAAGTATCTAAAGTATGATGCACTGTCTCTGCAACACAAAATAATATATAGTTGGTGTTTGTATTTATTGTAGAGAAAGCACACCAAATGAGACAAAAAACAATATTCTTTACTAAGGCTCTTCTTAAGAATAGATAACGAGTATTAAAACTGTACTTATAGCTCTTGCAGGGAAATATTAATTGTGTGGATTGGAGAAAACCAGTGTATGTGCATACTTCATAAGACAACAGAATAATGTAATAGATTTTAACTCAAATTAACTTTCTAATCCAGTGCGTCTTGTCAACTTGAAAATGTGTGGACTTCAACTCCCAGAATTTCCCAGCCATTTCTGATTGGAGAGCTCTGGGAGTTGAAGCCCACACATTTTCAAGTTGACCAAGATTCAGAAACACTGGTCTAATCTAAAATGAAAAGACCCCAGAGGAGAGTCCAAATGTCAGCTAAGGCACATCCAGCCAAGTCCTTTAGAACATTGATTGAATTACAGTTGACAAGTGAGTAGATAGTTACATAACATGAAGTGCTCTAAGCCAAAATGTCCTGTTTCGGGTTTTTTGTGTGAAAGATTCTGCCAAAAGCTACTGCAGCATAAAAAAAAAAAAATGCACTTACAAAAATTTATGTGCAGTTATTTAAAAATGGTTACCTTTTGTATTCTTTCTTTAATTTTATTCTATTCCCAGTTTCTTGTCTACTGTATAGACTACTTCAATAAGACATATTGCTGCCTTAATATGTTGTTTTGAAAATAAAGCTTATTTACATATTTGAAAAAGCTTTTGAGCCTTACAAACTTTGCTGGGGAAAAAAAAAGGAAATTATGCCTCCATTTATTGGTAGTTTCTAAATCAATCTGAGAAAAAACATTTTGAGAAGGTTGATTTACTCCCTAACCTTATCCCAAAATAATGGATTCAAGAATCATATGCATTCCGAGGATCATGGATAACCTAATGCTCTTTTTTAAAGTAAAATAAAAATCTATTACTTTCAATCGACCCTGGATAGCAGCCAGTGAAGATGATGCCTCATTCCCTGTCATAGTGAAATTAGGTAGTCCATACAGCCTCAGTTAATAACTTGGTAAGTGCCATTTTTTTTAAAGGAAAGTTTCTCATTGACCAAGGCAATTCCACATCAAGTGTATTACAGTTGACTAAAGCTGATGTTACTAGAGTCTGAACATCTAGATTCCTTTTCTTCTTTTTTTCATTTGTACTATTGTGCATCATCAAGACTGGGATGGCACATAGAACCTGTAAAATAAATAAATGCAATATCCCTTAAGCCTGTGAGCCATTGATTTGTTAATAACTTTTTATTCCAGAGTTCTTACAAATAGCAAATATCCATGTGGAACAAAGTCCACATAGAAGATGGTACATACATATATGTAGAAAGCTATAATAGACTGGAAAAGTGCAACATTTGTAGTTGTGTTATGTATTGGAAAGATACCAAGACTTGAGAAGATATAGGTTCTTCCTAGACAATAGATTTACAGCTATTTAGACAAACAGGAAACCCTGTATATTCTCCATCTACTTGCTAGTTGTTAAGTCAGAGGAAAGGAAGACTGGAAGGCATGCATGTGTATTGCTGACTTGCTGACACTGCTGGAGAATGAAGCGTGTTAGAGAAGGAGATAAAGTGTATCAGTTTGTCTAAAGAAGACTTGTCCAAGAAGAAAACAACATTGGACAGCAAGGATGAGAGCTGAATTATTATGGGACTGACAGCAATAAGTAGAGTCTGCTGATGTGCGGGGAAAGGAGAATCAGTCTACAATCTGAAATAAATTGTGGTGAACTATACTTCCAAACGACTCACTCATATATAATGTCCAGGAGAAATTGGTCTCTTATAGTATGAATAGATAGACTAAGACTATGTAAAGAGTATTGTGAAAATGAGAGAAAAGATTAAAAAGACTTTTCCCAGAATTAAAGGAGCAGAGTCAGAAATAAAAGCAGAGATTACATGTTATATGAGCTCAGTCCATCAAGCTAAGAGAAACATTGAAAACTCCATAAATAAGGTAATAGGCTTATAGGGAGATATCTGGTGTGTAGCTTGAATTAAGTATAAAAATAGGATTAAGTCTTTATGTTTGTAAAACTTAAGCACCGCATGTTCATCTGTGAAGCAATAAATGGTATCTTTTAAAGATGAAACCTGTAGTTATTCATCTGTCTTGCTTGGGTGAGAAAAATTCAAATGGAACCTGTGACAAGGCACATTAATGATACTTTTTAATTGTTTATGTAAAAACAGATTAGAAAAGGTTATTGATAGGCACAAAACTGATTTAAAGTATTAATATTGCTACTTGCCCCTGATATACCTTTCTAAATTATTCCTCTGCAGTTTCAAACTAGGCTTGTCAGAGAGTGTAAGTTTATCATGTGAATAAGCAGTGCTTTTTTTCTTAAAAAAAAAAAAGGTGCCGGAACTCACACACATCATACAACCTGGCTTGCTTACCCTATAAGGTTCCATCCAAAAAAGGTGCCGGAACTCCGTTCTGGGCATTCTATGAGGAAAAAAAACCCTGTGAATAAGGATCAATGAGGGTTGGCGATGACCTTTGATAAAATCAGATTTTGCAAGATAAGTAACTGAAGATAATAATCTCTGCAGTCAGGGTTGCAATCAATATTTGCACATTAGCATTTAAGAAAAAAACTGGATGATAGATTGCACAGACAGCTGGATCCTTATTTGTCTTAAAAATCACAGTTATAGAAGCTTCACTGAAGAAAGAAGGCTGGAAAACTTTATTAAAAATGTATAATACTAAACCTTTAATAATAGTGGGACAAAGAAATACATTATTATGCTACTAAATAGGATAACAATCTGGACAGGACTTTTCTTGTTTTTATAGATTTAATGGCATCTATAATTTCTTTTAGCCTCTTGTTCATGTGAAATCTTAGGAAGTGCTGTATTCTATAAAAATAATTAATTTTACTCGGTTATGTTGAACTCAGTATTATAAAATCAAAGGTATTTTTTTAAAAGCTGATTTATTGAGTCAGAATAGTTAAATACTTTATCCTTGATGTCTTTATAGTAGAGATAATGGTTAGTAATTTACCAGGTCTTTGATCTCACTTGCTAAATCTTTGCTTTATATGGCTATTCTGTTTCAAGTATAAAAGAGAATTAAGTTCCTGTTTAATATTCATAAAAGCATATAATTCTGATGTACTTTGCCTCGCATGTATTCTCCCAATTTTCTTAACATTTTGTCCACATTTCTTGTAAAGAAATATACCTTATAAAAGAATAGGATTATTCTTTTTATAGTATGATAATTTATACACACGCACTATAAACATTGTAACATAGTAGTACATAGTACATATGTTAATGATGAGTATTGCCTATATTACATTTATTAATTCATCTAAGTAATACACAAGATGGCAGAAAAAATATCAAATCAAGAACTGCTTTGATGTGGAAGTGAAGAAAAGACACGTTTCTGTTGTGAAAGATTTAAAATTCGCCACATCCAACAAATTAAAACCCAGTGTAAAAGTGTGCAGCATTTTGCACGTATGAGAGTTAGATTCAGGTTGAGTGGTATTCCACACTAATAAAAGATTTAGAACTTGATTGAAATCTTTGACCATTTTTATCTGATACACAGCTGAGGTTAAAAACATCTGTGTAATCTAAAATAAAGTTCTTCCCCCTCTTTCTTTCATACATATACACATGAAAAACATCTACATAATCTATATGGAAATTTAGGCCTTTTTAAGGGTCATAATGCATTTATTAAAACCCTAAACATAATATTAAAAAAATTCTGGGGGGGGGTGTCTCTTATTTCTTGTACCATCACAGATCCTGAACACTTATTAGCTAGCCACCATTAATACACCTCCATTAACTTTTGAATGAAAAATGCATCCCATATGCCCATGGTTGTTCTTTCCTCATCTTAGGTGATGAAGACCTATCACATGTATCATGCTGAGAGTATCAGTGCTGAAAGCAAGCTGAAGGAAGCTGAGAAGCAGGAAGAGAAGCAGTTCAACAAAGCAGGGGACATCAGCGTGAACCTGCTGCGGCATGAAGATAGGCCTCAGCGCCGCAGCTCTGTTAAGAAGATTGAGAAGATGAAGGAAAAGGTGAGTAGGATGTCATGCTTTCCATGTGATGGGCTATTGGCAAAAATGAACAGAGGAATATATTGTTGGGATGTGGCTAGTTCTTATCTCACCCATTTCACTATTGATCTATTGATGAAGATCTCCTGTGGATACATGAATAGGGGATTAAAGGAGAGTAGTAAAGTGCGGTGCCCAGTTCCAGTGCATTATGGACTATATTGCAGAGGTTGGGGAAACATTATGTGAATATATAATACAGTGTTCTACAACATTGTAGATGTAATATTTTGTATTTCATGCTTAATTTTATTGATTAAATTGTACACCGCCCAGAGCATAAATAAATCATAAATGAATGAATGAACAAATAAATAACATTATCATAAACAGTATGTAATTGATCACAGACAGTAAAGTGTCTAAATCAGCCTGTGTAACATAGTGGTTAAGATGTTAGTTTGCTATTGGAGAAAGACAGGTCTCCCTTTGGTCATGAACATTTATTGTGTGGCTTTGTGCTATTCTTTTTTCTCTGTCAGCCTAACTAAACCTCATAGGGTTTGGGGGAGATAAAATTAAAGGTAGGTGTGTTGGTCAAGAAAGATTGGATATAAATCTAACAAATAATATTAATAAATGATTATTGGTTCTAAGAATCTTAGCCTAAGAAAAAACCTTAAAAGCTGTTTTGCTTCTGTTGGATTTTTTTTTTTTATCTCTCTTTCTGAAGGTTTTCTCCCTGACAGGTTGTTCTTTCCTCCTTAACGGTTCAGCACATCAGGTCTTGATGAGGTAATGTACCCCTCTCTGTGGAAATGCTCCACAATTTACCCCCAGGCTCTCCTTCCTGTTAAATGGTGCCTGCCTGACTCAAAACTCAGCTATGTGCCGTCTTTCTGGCGCTTTTCCACAGCTAACAGGCGGTAAAAAGACTAGCTAATATATAGGAGTCTCAAGATCTTAAGTGAAAATGCATAGAAAAATTCAGGCAGGCAGGCAGGCAGCATTCCAGCAATCCAGATTTAGTCAGAGTAACAGATGTGCAGTTGACCATTTAAAAAAAAAATCATGAGCCTTGGACTTGAAGAGCATTCTCAGTTTGGGAACTCTTTTTCCCTATTAGCTAGATGTGAGAAATATTTCAGTTATTGCCTAACTATTACATCCTTGCCTTGCCAAACCATAGAAATGAAAGGACTAGGAAACACTATATGTTATTGTGCACTTTTCTTCCCATGCTGCCAACAGCAGTTAATGTTGAGAGAGCCACTGATTGTCTTTCAAGACTGAAGAGCAAAAGAAGCATCTTGTGCTGGATTGTGGAGCAACGAGCATGCATGGCCATATTCTAAGTATGAATTAGAGTATTTTCTCAAAGTTATGGACTTTCAGTTATGGCTGGATTCTCCTTGGATCTTCCATCTCTAATGAAAAGTCTCTCTGCTCTCCACATAAAAACTTCAGCCTTACAGATGGTGGGCCTGAAGACTATCCAAAAAGAAGACCTCCAAGATCTATTCCTATTCCTATTCCATTCCATTCCATTCCATTCCATGCCAGACATTTTTAAAAAGCTTATCAGATGTCTTTCTGAGAGTGGCATGATGGTCTAGTGGTAAAGATGCTTGCCTCCCATTCAGAAGATTAAGAGTTCGATCCTGGGTAGTGGCAGATGTTTCTTTCTCAGAGCTCGAAGTGAAAATATCTGCTGCAAACTTCATATAGGCATCAGGAAGGGTATCCGGTCAGAAAACACTCAAACTCCATTCAGTCATCCTGACTCTACCCCGAATTAAGGGATTACAGGACTGTAAAAAGAAAAAAAAATCAGATGTCTGGCAATGACATTGCAGACAAAATAATGATCTAAGGCTGATAATAATTGCTACTATGTCTAATAAGTTATAATTCACAATGCTTTTCCTTTGAATCAGGTATATTAGCAATAAAGAAGAAATATCCTTGGAAAATCTTAGTGTTACAGAAACTACTTTAAAGAATTACAGCTATCTTCACACTGAAAAATAAATGCCCTTGCATTTTAAAATGCCCTTGCTTAATATAAATAATTTTTATATATAATTTGTTTCCTTTTAATTATATTTACTTTACTGGGTTTATATGCTGCTGGAACCGATATTGATTTTGAGCAGCTTACATACCCAATATATGTAATTAAAGTTGAAGCAACAGAGTAACAGTTACATTCATAACAAAAATAACAGCCTACATTTATACCATAAGTGCCTTTAAACAAACAAGAGAGAGCTGACTCATAACATAACCTCTTCTAAGGTGGATTGATAATGAAACCAGGAAGAGTTGCTTATAGTAGAATGCTATCTGAACCAGTAGTCTTTGCACCATGATCAGAGGTCAACTGGTTGAAGAAAACGGCCTTTGGGCCAGTGTGTGAGAGTCTAAATTGGGGTTCTGAATTAAGTTTGTTCTGTATCATGATCTGGATATTGCTTTGTAGCAGTCTTCCTCATATTGATGCCTACAAAATGGGCTGGAACTCCCCAGTGACTTGGGATATTTGGACTTCAGTTCCAAATTATCTGGAAAACATCAAGTTAGAATAAGCTGTTCTGAGGTAAGAATAAGCTGTTCTGGTGTGAGCTGCTCTGAGGTGCCAACTTGCTAATGGCAAATATAGCAATCACAGTGAAAAGGTTATGTCTATAGACAGAGCAGGGGAGCATTAGGGAACTGTTAATCAGACAGCTTTGCATATTCCTGAATGAGAGTAATGTTTGTAAATGTTTTTCTGTCTTAAAATTTCTTGCAAGTACTCCAAAAAACAAAAAATTATCATGGCAGGAAATAGATTGCATTACAGAAATGATATTCATTATTCAATTTAATTCAATTCAATTCGATTCTATTACTACTCCTACTCCTATTCCTATTCTGAATCATTTCTATCTTGAAATTATCAGAAATGAAAATGTTTCCTCAGGATTCTATCAATTCTTAAAATACAAGCAAAGAGATCTTTAACTGCATCCGAGAAGAGTCAAACAGATAGAAACAGAGATTTATGTCTTGGTCTTTTACTCCTTATCTTATTTAACTTTTGTTTTTACTTACTGGTATTTGTATAATGGTGGCCAAGGGGTGTAAGAAGAGTGCTGGGTACATTAAAAAGAGCCTTTTATGTCTGTAGTTCACGAAAGGCTGATTTAATGAGCAGAGCCAATGTTTCTGACACTTCAGCTATTGATCAAATGAAAATATCAAACAAGCAGTTGTCATATAGTGGTAGACCATATGCCCTGCAAACCAATTACTCCAATAGATCCCTTTATCTGTACGAATGTCATTCTGGACAGAAATATTGAGGGTGGATATTCAAAATATTTGTATTTCTTCTTAAAAACAAGTATTGTATGTATGTGTATATGTATATGTGCAAATGTATAGATTGCAGCAACTTCTTTTATCCAGTTATACATCTAATAGTACCCCTGATAATTCCCCAAGCACCAATGGCAAAAGAGAAAAAAAATGCTTGGATATTTTTTAAAGTCCTATGTATATTAACAGTTACCTAAACTGGAACTTCTGCTATGTTAACTGTATTAAGAAAAGCATTGTGTACTGCTTAACAATGAGAATAAAATATATTTATATTAATTTTCCTTAAACGAACTACAAACACTTACAAAAAAGGGGAATATTGGGTCTAACACCCTTTCCAAACAACTGAATTTTTACCTGCTTCTACAAGGCCTATGGGGCGTTCATAAGACAGTAGTTGGGAGAATTTATTTTTTGAGATAAGTGGTAGATCTTATAAAACATCATGCACATCAGTGATTACAAGCTTCCTGGATATAAACCATCACTGATGTATGTACTGATTTCAGAAATAATGTGCTATAATGATTTAAAATTAAATAGTTGTACAACTTTTTAATTATCAGAATTACTATATCTTGGATATGTATGTCATAGCTACAGAAATAAAATCATATCCTGACCAACTGGGTCTAAGGAGAAGAGATTTAACGCTGAATCGATTGATGCCATGTGGCTTTTACTGGAGGATAAATCTGATTTCTTAGCAGAATTAGCATGCCATAATTACTGGTGCCATTCACATTTTTGCAACTTACTGTCTCAGCAGCAAGGAAAGTGGTTGCCAAAACATGTTGCTATTATTTTTTAATTGATTCTTTTTCTTTATTTATATGTTCACTTCCAGTTTGTATTATTTGTTTTCTTCCTGTTCATTTTATTCATAATAATGCTTTATTTTTTATTTTTCTTTATATTTTGGTGGATGATTATTCATTGAATGTTTGAATATGTCTTCAGAAAGAAGCAGAAAGAAGCAGATGATATACACCAGTGTTTCCCAAACTTGACAATTTTAAGGCATGCGTTGCTGGCTGTGGAATTCTGGGAGTTGAAGTCCTCATGCCTTAAAATTGTCAAGTTTGGGAAACACTGATATACACAGTGGTGCACTATGCTGGATGCTATTATCTTAACTCTGCAGAAAAAAAAATCTCAGCTATATTTGAATTCTAAAACAGCTTTAAACCTTGCTTACTACTTAATGGGGGGAGGCTGCCAAACATTTCTTGATGTGGTGACAAATGTTCAAGCTGTACTTTATATATACATAGTACAAAAATTGAAACCTGCGTGTCAAGTAGTTAACTCTACTGGAAATATGTGCCAGAAATATGCTTATGCTTATGGACCGGAGACAAATTCCTTGTGTCCAATCACACTTGGCCAATAAAGAATTCTATACTAATAAAGAATTCTATATTCAGAAAAAATAGCAGTTGTAAATTATCCTGTGGGGTTTTTTTTTCATTAAAATGTAACTAGCACATCAGTACAGAGTGCTTCTCTTTAAAAATTCATACAGTATAAAGCCATCAATGGCTATCAGTCATTATGGCTATATATAACCCCAACATCAGGGATGGCATGGCCTCAATAAACCACAGCAGAAAGGAATTGCTATTCCCACGCTTTGATTGGCGGCTTCCCTCTGACCTATGGTTGGCCACAGAATGCTGGACTAGATGTGCTTAGTCTGATCCAATGCGATATGTTTATGTTCTAAGAGCCTGAATTTGGGAAAAAATAAAATAGGATTGGGAAACTGAATACATTTTGTTTGAATCTTGTTTTTCAGAGGCAAGCAAAATATTCTGAAAACAAGCTCAAGTGCACTAAAGCTAGGAATGATTATCTGCTGAACCTTGCAGCCACAAATGCAGCAGTCAGTAAATACTACATCCATGATGTTTCCGATCTAATTGATGTGAGTACCAAAGTGATTCTCTTTTACAACAATGTCATTTCCAATGAAAATGATTGCATTCTAGACTGTGGTCATGCAGTGATGCTGTCTTAATTTATGATCAATTGCTAATGTATTTAGCATGTAGGACCTATTTGTCTATGGATTCATATCTTGATGCTTTCCCTCTCCCAGTGGTTTCTTAAAAGCAATAGAAGTAGAAAGATATTCAGACATGCAGGGTTTTCAGCTACTGATAGATTTAGAGAGGTCATAGATGCTTGGAGCTGTACAGTTCTACGTTCATTTATATCTTTTATTTATCAAAATGTTTTATACTGACTATGACTTTTTTTCCAACTGATTACGGTGAAGTGAGAGACCAATTTGAGCCAAGGCAGATGAAGACTGAGTTTAGCACATATAAATGCTGTCAAGCAAGAACAGAGAGAGGTGATAATAGTGTCCAAACAAAACTGAGGGTAATAATTGTTATGTATTGGAAGAAAGATAAAAGAGTGGAAGTTTTAAATTAGGGTTGTTAAGACAGACACTTACAGGAAATAAGAAAGATAACCTTTATTCCTAATGCTAGGTACTATTTCTCAACTTTGTAGATCAAACTTTAATTTGTGAACTGCCCACAAAACTACCAAAATATTCTTAAAATCCACAATGAAAAATAAGATATGAGTTGTCTCATTGATTATTGGAGAGTAGGATTTTTGCATCTAAAATCCTTTATTTTGTAGCTCATTGAAAGTCTGCAGATAGTTCAGAATTAGAACACTACACACGTTCATGCTTTCGTTTGATCAGGCATTTCAAATAAGTTTTCTGCCAACTTTAAACATGCACTGAATCAAATTATAACTTGCAACAAGGGTTATCATCTTGCTGGTGAAATACAAATTGGATTCTAGATAAACACAAGGCATTAAAAAGTAATAAAAACAATGATCTTTAATCTCAAATGTGTGCAATGTTTTAAATGGCTGAAAATTAATTTCCTTTAATTATTTCTCTAAATCATTAATTGTATCATTGAATGTTATGCATCATCAAGTCTTCGATGACTCTTATCAGCCAATACGCTGACAACCTCTAAGATGATCTGTTCCCACCCTGCCCCTTTTAGGTTATTCAATAGTATATCAATTGTCATTTTAATTGACTCTATCCACCTCACTGCTAGTCAACTGCTCCTTCCTTCCTTCCTTCCTTCCTTCCTTCCTTCCTTCCTTCCTTCCTTCCTTCCTTCCTTCCTTCCTTCCTTCCTTCCTTCCTTCCTATTATTAAGCTTGTGTATCTTGCATACATCTTAATCAGCCTTTCATCCTTCTGAGGTCAGTAAAATGAGGATCCAGATTTTGGGGGATAATATTCTGACTCTGTAAACCGCTTAGATAGGGCTGTAAAGCATTGTGAAGCGGTATATAAGTCTAAGAGCTATTGCTATTAATTTCAGCTTTCCTGAAGAAAAGGCACTTCGGCCTGATTTTCACATGAGTAGTGTGTATCAGAAGAACATTATATACCGTGTCAAAATATATTAATATAAGAAATATTTCATCTCTTAGGTCAGCGGCCCCCAACCTTTTGGGCACCAGGGACCAGTTCTGTGGAGAAAGAGTTTTCCACAGATCGGAGGGGGTGTGATTTCATGTGCTGCCTGCATCCCGGGGTTTCACTTGTTTGCATGGGCCAGTTTCTGGCATGCCACAGACTGGAGCTGGTCCATGGACCAGGGGTTGGGGATCCCTGCCTTAGGGAGTCAATAAGAACTTCTAGTACTTGCATTATCAGATTACATATTTCAGCATTTTTGCTTAAAACCCTGCATATTGGCTTGGAATGAGTTGCCTTGATCATTTCAGATAGCAGTTGAGAGTTGTGTTTTACACCGCAGCTGAGCGTCATCTTTTAATATTACCCCCATAAACATTACTTTACAAAAATAAAGAATTAAAATATATTAGTTCTAAAATGCAGAACCATAATAAACAAATGGTGTTATAATAATCCATTTGAACCTATTACTATGCCCCATTCCTACTGTGAATGTTTGAAAATGCTATCAGAAGAGGAATTTAGAAGTCAGCTTTACTTACATTTATAAGGAAAACGATTTTTCACGAGTTCTTCTCTACTAACATAAACATGATGTTTAGTCAGGCAAACAGAAAGGACTCACCCACCATTGTTTGTTTTCCATTTGTAAAATTAGACATAAATATAGTCTTAGTGGCTATGATGAGCAAAAGTACCTGGTTCAACTAAAAAGATTTGCATGAATCATGAGAAAAACAAACAAAATGGGTGTAAAATAGAGATGCTGTATTTATCCAGAAGTCACAATGAATATAAGAAGGGAACTTTCAGTTCTCAGTTTCTCCATTCCCTCCCTAAAAAGCAAGGAGCTACTTGTAATTTCATAGCATGTATATTTTGAATTACAAATGGTGGATGTAGATTAGCTTTTCCCCTACCTGCTGTTGCCCTTATGTCTTAGGTTTTAATTCCCATAATCCATAGCCAGTATGATATATCCCCTATTAGCATTATAACAGGCTTTAAAAGCAGAGCTTGAAATACTGGTGAACAAAACAAAATAACACACACACACACACACACACACAGGACCCACACACTTATTTTGATAGGTGACTTATCAGCTCAATTCAGATATCATGCTTAATTATAGTTTGTGCAACCCGTAATCCAAGTATGCTTTGAGACTGCACACACTGCAAAGTACCTTTTTCACCTTTGAATCCAAAGCTTGATATGAAAGGTACTTCGATTTTAATTTATTCTATTACTTTTTGGATACAACCAGCAGTACAAACATTGAAAAGGTGAATCAGCCTGCACATACCTACCCTGACAATAGCCTACAGAGAAGTCTTTCCTAATCCTGTGTGCTAGATGGAAACGGTGCATCAACAAGAATGTATTTCATTGTACATCATTTGTTAAAGACACTTTTACTTTCAGGATTGTTTAGATAAAGTCAAAGCCTGGCAGATTAGATTGGTAAAGGATGGATGGGTAAATAAATAGCTAAGTTCATGGGAAATTATTTTCTTTCTGTAGAGCCAGAGCATCTCAGAACTCCTGACGAAAAGAATCATACATATGCATGAAGCCAAGAGGAAAAAAATGCTTCCTACGGGAAATTGCTGTCCGGAGTTTTCCTTTTTTTTTCTATTGATTGAATGTTGCCGGTCTCAAAAAGCAACATGTTTTTTGAGTGTAACAGAGGAGAATGTAATATTCATATTAATAATTTTATACTGATGGGGAAAGCAATCTCCTGTCCTTACAGATAGTTCTCAACTTGGGCTCAGATTTAATAACAATAACAATAACAACAACAACAATAATTTTGGAAGGGACCTTGGAGGTCATCTAGTCCAACCTCCTGCTCAGGTAGGAAACCCTATACCAGGGGTGTCAAACTGCCGGCCTGTGGACTGGTTTCATCATACCGAAGTTGTGCCCACCCCATTGCCGGCAATGCAAAAAGAGTTGCGATACGTTGCGACACGTCACGTGATGTGGCGAGTTTGACACCCATGCCCTATACCAATTTCGGACAAATGGCTGTCCAGTCTCTTCTTAAAAATTTCCAGTGTTGGAGCATTTATAGCTTCTGGAGGCAGCTGGTTCCACTGATTAATTGTTCTGTCAGGAAATTTCTCCTTAGCTCTAGGTTGCTTCTCTCTTTGGTTAGTTTCCATCCATTGAGCCCAAAATTCATATTGCTAAGTGAGAAATTTGTTAAGTGAGTTTTGCCCCATTCTACAACTTTTCTTGTCACATTGGTTAAGTGAATCACTACAGTTGTTAATTTAGTAACATGGTTGTTAAGTGAATCTGGCTTCTCCATTGACTTTGCTTGTCAGAAGGTTGCAAAAGGTGATCACATGACCCTGGGACACTGCAACCGTCATAAATGTGAGTCAGTTGCCAAGTATCCAAATTTGGATCATGTGATCATGGGGATACTGCAATGGTCATAAGTGTGAAAAATGGTCATAAGTGACTATTTTCAGTGCTGTTTTAACTTCACACGGTCACTAAAGGAACTGTTGCAAGTGGAGGACTAGCTGTATTAATACACAAAATTGAAATAAAAGTAACAATGGGTTCAAACTGTCAAGCCTGGTCCTATAAAATTATAAAAATTGTGACAAGTTCAATTAAACTCAAAACATGGGGTGTGCCTGAGTTTAATATTTAAGGGTTCAGAAGACAATTGCTAGCTAAATGACCCCCATATTTTCTTCACTTTATAAACAGCTACATTTGTGTCTCCCACGTTCATTTGAAAAAATTGACATTTGGTTTGTGGCTTTGAAAATTACTCAAGGCAGGCATTTGTGTGGCTGAAAGACTCTGTTTTGATGTGGAAAGTTTAGTCTACTTTGGGCTTGGCTGTAAAGTGATACCTTTTAAATTAGGTACTGCAGGCCTTGAGGCCTTCTCAGATCGGAAGTATGTGGCTAGCGGTGCTATTGCTATTTTCAACTGTGGTAATGCAGGCTAAATTTGGTGGAAATGAAGGTTTGAGGCTTCTAAAACATACAAAAGGGAGTGATGGCTAATCCACGAATGAGGGGTCCTTGGTGCTCTCTGAGCTTGCTTGTTTTCTTGCAGACATTTCATTACTCTAACTAGGTAACATCATCATTTCAACCCTGAGCTACAAATATTTTCCTTCATTAATCCATGAATGCAAAGAAAAGTTCTTTAAAACTCAGAGATCTATTAAATTCAGGAGAAGTGTGTAAAAACCCAGATGCATTTATTTCTAACCGTATTTCTCTAATACAGACATGTCAAACGTGCGACATTACATGATGTTGCGCAACATATCGGGACAGTTTTGCCATTGCCGGCAATGGGGTAGGCACGGCTTCTGCGTGACGCGTCCAGCCCGCGGGCCGGCAGTTTGACACCCATGCTCTAATAAAACAACCTGTTGTTTGTTTGTAAAATTGTTCTATTTCCCAGAATAAAATATCAGAAGACCCTGTCATGTAATGCCTAGAAAACATTTTACATTATAGTAATGATGTTCTTATTACACTGCCATGTTTTCTGCTGCTCACTTTATGGGCAAAATGAATGAATGGATGAATGTAGATGTAATAAAGTTATGAGTGACTTCGTGTGTTTTACAAAGCCCACCATAAATGAAAAGATTGGATATTCTTTTAAACAAGCAAATAACACATGTGTTGTTGTTAATTGCGAAGTCGTGTCCGACCCATCGCGACCCCATGGACAATGTTCCTCCAGGTCTTCCTGTCCTCTACCATCTTCCAGAGTCCATTTAAGTTCACACCTACTGCTTCAGTGACTCCATCCAGCCATCTCATTCTCTGTCGTCCCCTTCTTCTATTAACACATAGCTACTTAATATTTCTTCAAGTGAAGAACCTGTTATTCTACCTAGAAATAATTTGTATGATCTGTGGTTTAAGCTTGTTGTTTTTTCTTCCTTAGTGCTGTGACCTGGGATTCCATGCTAGTCTAGCACGGACATTCAGAACATATCTTTCTGCTGAATACAATCTAGAAACCTCACGCCATGAAGGGTTGGACATAATTGAAAATGCTGTAGACAACCTGGATGCACGAAGTGACAAACATACAGTTATGGACATGTGCAACCAGGTCTTCTGTCCTCCGCTGAAGTTTGACTACCAGCCTCACATGGGGGATGAGGTATGTAATTAGAAATGGTTCATGTTGCTTCATAATGCACCTTTTCTTCAGATGTAATGCTTCTTGTGTATTAGAATGAATGAGCTTTAATAGCATTTGTGTTTCATTTATTAGTTTTGAAACGGCATCGTAGTTACTGGAATTCTTTTTTCTTCTTTTAGAACAGAGGTGGGGAACGATAGTCTTTTTATGACTTGTGGACTTCAACTCTCAGAATTCGTACGCCAGAAGTGGGACTTGAAGTCCACAAATCATAAAGGGGCCATCATTCCTCACCTGTTTTAGAACTAGGGCCACATTTTCATAATATGCTTAGACCAGTGCTATTTTCCATTTTATTAGAACTTTTTAGACACATACTGTGCTAGAACTTTCATTGTTCATTGTGTATTCCTTTGTTGAGAATTCTTTCCACCATTGAAATAAATTAAGAAGCAGGTGGCTTTTGCTATATCTTAGGCATAAGAAAGCAATTAATATTTAGACCTTTTATAGGGGTGATTAATCCAGATCCTGCTTTTGGAACACTAGTTATGTAATATCTGTCAGAATATTTGGAAATACTAAAGTTGTTTTGGCATATTGACCTAAATGGTCATTACTGTCATTATTTTGTATGTGATACAGTTACATTGTCAGATTCAGAAAGAAATTATTCTGTTAGTTAAAAAAAACACTTTAACTGAAGATATTTTTTTTTCTGCCAATATTCTCCTTTAGATTGAATTTGCAGAGGCTTGTTTTCTTTCTATAGGTATGTCAAGTAAGTGCCCAGCAGCCAGTTCAGACGGAGTTGCTCATGCGATACCATCAGCTCCAGTCTAGACTAGCCACCCTCAAAATAGAGAATGAAGAGGTGAGAGCTGTAATTGTTTTTAACTGTAAGTAAATAAGCACAATTCACTCAAATTATGCTAATGCTTCTGTTTGAAGTAATTTTGAAAGTCATTTGGATAGTTAAAACCTTCTTGATAAAGATATAGTTTTCAGTCCAGAATCTGTGACTATTGTAATATGTATCATAAGGTGCTTTCTTTCAAAAGTGTCAAGAAATACAAAATGCAACAGCTGATCTGTTCATGAGTGCAAGGCATAACTGTCAAATTATTCCTAAATAGCTGCACAAATGGTCATTTGTTTATTTAGGACCTGACTGCCTTAGGAACCTTTTTTATCATACTTTTCATTCATATATTTTAATATTAGTTTTAAGCTATAACAGAATAACAGAGTTGGAAGGGATACTGGAGGTCTTCCATTCCATCCCTCTGCTCAAGCAGGAAACCTTGTGTCATTTCAGACAAATGGTTGTCCAATCTCTTCTTAAAAACCTCCAGTGTTAGAGCACTCACAACTTCTGGAGCCAGGTTATTCCACTGACTAATTGTTCTAACTGTCAGGAAATTTCTCCTTAGTTCTAGGTTCCTTCTTGACTTGATTAGTTTCCATCCATTCCTTCTTGTCCTGCCTTCAAGTGCTTTGGAGAATAGCTTGATTCCCTCTTCTTTGTGGCAGCCCCTGAGATATTGGAACACTGCTATTATGTAACTCCTAGTCCTTCTTTTCATTAAACTAGACGTACCCAGTTCCTGCGACCTTTCTTCGTGTGTTTTAGCCTTCAGTCCCCTAATCATCTTTGTTGCTCTTCTTTGCACTCTGTTTTACTAAACTACGTTTTCTTTTCTATTTTTAAAAAGAATTGCTATCTCCCTTTGGTGTTTCCAAAGCCTTAGCCTCTCTTCTGATAATCTGTATGGTTAAGGTGATATGTCTTCACAATAGATGTGACATCCCAAGTTTACAATAGGAAATATGAATGTGGCAAGGCAAAGGAGGACCAGGTCTACATTTACTTGGATTAAGGAATTTGAACTAAAATCCCAAGAGGCAAAGTTGCGTCTTACTTATCAGGCTCAAAGAGTAATATTTGAACCATTGAATTTTCTATTTAACTCCTATTTGTAAAATCATCTTCATACGCTCTTGATCTAGGAAGATGGGAACATGGATTCTGTGCTATATTGCCAATGTAATTAAATATAGTGTTCTGTGACTGAGCACTGCAAAACTTTGTTTGCCATTAGAGTTGTGTCCATTTCCATTATTGTGATTCTAGTAATACTCATCTGCTATGGTTTTACAGAGATTCTGGTAATCATTTTGCTACACATGTTGCTTATTATTAATTGTTTGAACTAGAAATAATTGTGGATTACTTTGAGACTGTAGTTACTCAAGAAATTTCTGCTTGTGACTTCAGAGGCTTTACAAATTTAATTAGTCATAGGTATTAAGACTTTGAAAAACATTTAGAAATATTCTTGTTATGAAGCATCCCTGCAAATCTATTGATCAAAGACAAGGGACATTTGCGAGCATAAAGTCACCAGTAAGAAATAGATGTACTGAGGTATTTTTCAAGAGAATTAATGAAGATTGTATTGCAAAACAAATATATAAATGAGTAAAAGAGTCTAAAAGAAGGAGAAGACTGAGTGATTGAATAGAATTTATTTGATCCTAAAAAAGAAGCAGATGAGAAATTTAAAGAACAAAAGGCAATGTAGGAAGCAGTTCCTGGATATGAAACTTTTCCATTTGATGCAATGCGAACATTAATGAAAGGGTTGTTTATGACTGGCCTAGTGTTATAAATCTAGTGGTGTACAATTATATGCAAAAGATCAGGCAGTCCTGATTAAATTTTATGTTTCAATGACTCTGTAAGTGTAGAGAAGCTGACACAATCTCCACATGGTACAAAGATAAACACTGCATCTTTCCAGTGCATTTTAAAATCCTTATGATTGAAAGAATTTCTTAAAGAGTTATGTTTGATTTTTCTTCCTGGTTGTGTGATGCTATGACTTTTTCTAATGGCATTCAGAAATATTACTTTTTCTCATAAACCTTAAGATATAGTAATATACTTACAGATATTTTTCATTTGCAAGCAAGAACCTCCTGTTAAACTAAGAGCTTAATTCTGAAAAGCATTTGTTTAAAAAAATGTCAGTGTAACAAAAGTTATACATTTATAGTGCCAAACTGTATCTTTCACTCTGCTTTTCTGTACACCCATTTCCTGCAGGTGCGAAAAACGTTGGACGCCACAATGCAGACACTGCAAGACATGCTGACAGTGGAGGATTTTGATGTTTCAGACGCTTTTCAGCACAGTCGCTCAACTGAATCCATCAAATCAGCTGCTTCAGAGACTTACATGAGTAAAATAAACATTGCCAAGAGAAGAGCCAACCAACAAGAAACTGAAATGTTCTACTTTACTGTGAGGAACATCTTCTGTCTATTTGGAGCCCAGTACTTTTAAAGCACATTAGTGAAATATTCATCCCACAAAGTTATAGCTGCATATTAAGAATGGAATGCCCATATTATTATTTTTTAACATTTTCACATCAACTTACTCTTCCCTTCTCAAGTATGCATGGATGTTCTTTTAATGTGCAATAGTTCTGAGAACTGTATGTGCCTTGTTTGAAGGAGGATTTTTATCATTAGTCCTCATGAGTTTGAAGTAAAGATGTAATATATATGGCCATCCTAAAACATGTAGAATTTTTTTTTTTAACATTTACAGTAAAATCCCCCTCAGGGTTGATTCCCAGTGAATTACAGGGACATATCCATGTTGTTTCCTTCATAGTATAGAAGTGGCTTGCTACTGTAATCTCCTGGGATCTTTAATTCCAAATCAGGGACTATTTATATATTCCACCACATGCCAGAAAGTACCTTCCATTGTGCAAGTCAGCTGAGAAGAATTTTGTAAATTCTGCTGGCTACGTACTACTGGATTTGCCCTAGTTAGAACTGGAATTTCTGAGATTCACGTCTTTTTAGAATCCTTTCACAATAATAGTTGATTTTCACTGGTGGAAATCTTTTTAAACTAAATAAGAACTGTGTAATCATTGAGTCTTGTTACTCTGGTTATGAAGGCAGGAGATACCTAAAAATTATGGCAGCTAAGTAGCATAGATAACTTTTCCCTTATTCACATAGCACAATGTGACAAGTCAGGTTGAAACAAGTCAGGTTGAAACTGCATCAATATTCCTCAAGTAACCTCATTCTTCTGCAGACATTCTTGCTGTAAGTCAACTTTCTGCCAGAGAGAAGCCCATGCTGTTTTGTTGATCTTCTTGTACTTTATCACAAGGCCTTGACTTAGAAGAAGATAATGAGTGTACAGTACAACTACATGCAGTAATGATTTAATGTATAGTCATGCAGATTGTTATTTGAGCAATATGGAGGGGGGCATTTTAATTGTAATAACATCCAAGCAGGGTTGATTTCAATCCTTATATTAGTTGTCTGATGATTCAACATATATACAGTATAGTTTAGAAATTTAGCAATTGTTGATATTTTAAATATTAAACTACAGTGATTTCACTCAAAATCTTGGCCACATATTGCAGCAAAGTGCTTAGAAATGAGAGCACTTAAATCTATCCGCCCAGCTATTGCCCTAATTGGAACATGAGATTGAATCCATGAAATTCTTTTCACTAATACATATGGCCATAACAAATATCATTTTCTTAATTTAAAGGGCTTACTGAAATTTGTATTTTGTAATGTTAGTGCTGTGAGTATTCATTTTTCAGTCTCCTTATTTCTGTTCCTTCAACTAATACACATTTTCTCCCCTCTCTCACCCCATGCTTACCCTCTCTTTCTAGCACCTGTAGAGTTACATGGGTGAATACAAAGGTTTCTGACCTTAATCAGGAGTGTTACTGTTACCTACGTTTTATTGTGAGGGAGACCTAAAAAATAAGGTTTAAAAAATCCTGTATGCAACCAAAATCTGATTCCTTAAGACTTTACAAACGTGTCTTTTTTTCTTATTTAGAACTCTGAGAACATTAAGAGGAAAATGAACACACACACACACACACAGAGGGGGGGAGGAGGGGGGGAGGGGGGGAGAGAGAGTTCTCACTTAACAACCTTTCATTCAGTGACCTCTCAGACTTATGATAGTGCTGAATGAGCGATATTTACAACCAGCGGCATGACCATGTGATGTCATGGTTTACAAGCATGTTGTTTAATGATGGCAACTCTGATCCCAATTGCTGTTTTTAACTGAAGACTACTTTTAGCTCAAAGTATATGTCTTAGGAGACATATACTTTGTCCATCTTACTTAGAGTTAAATGGATTTGTTTCTTCTCTTCTTCAGAAATTTAAAGAGTATTTGAATGGCAGTAACCTTATTACTAAGCTGCAAGCTAAGCACGACTTACTGAAGCAGACTCTAGGAGAAGGTAAGTTACAGTTTCAATATTGCATTTCTCACCACTATTGTACAAGATTTCAAGCTAGATTATAAATTTCTTAATGTCATCTGCTTTGGTTCTTTCTCTTGTACCTGCTGTTGTAACTAGGAGTATTATCTGGTTGTTGTTAACACCCTGCTTTCCTTCTTTGTTCCTCATGCTCCACTTTGCCAATATTCTCTAGTCTTTTCCAAGAATACTGTGGTACATGTGGTACTAAAGCAATTCCAACTGTGAAAATAAGACCATCCAAGCATACAATTGGGGGATAGCAATGAGAATTGAAAGAAGGAAGGGGATAGTATGGAAATCTCTCCTGTCTCCTCCATAACACAAAAGTAGCTTGTGTCTACCTTGTTTGTACCTCAAGGCTGTTTCGGTAGTTAAATATGCAGCCTAGGATTGGAGCGATACTAGTCCAGAATGGAGTAACATACAAATCTTATTAACAATATAAATGTATGACTATATATGTCCAGCAAACACGTTTGTGCTGATACCAGTACTTCGACATATTTAAAGTACAGGCTACATTCATGAATGAACGTTGAAACTGGTTGTTACCTAGTTTAGATAATTGAGTATTATCAAATTAGACTATAACCTTATAGAATAGGGTTCCCAACCCCCAGGCTGTGGCCCTCTACCGGACCGTGACCCACAAGTGGAGCTGTGCGTGCTCGTGCTCACACCTGCTGCTCACATGGAACCACTTCCTCTCCCCCCCCCACAGGGCTTCCAAACTGGAAAGGTTGGGGACCACTGTTATAGAAGGTAAAAATAGGTGATCGGTACCCCCCCAGTATATCCATGAGTTGCTTTTGATTGACCGTCTCCAGCGGTCCAACCCTTACCTGAGAAGAAAAAGACATTGTGATTTATGCTTTTGCCTGGCAAGGTGATAAAAGTTATTATTTTTTTTACCTGATGGAAAACCCCAACCCCTACTAATATATTTTCTTAAAATGTATTCGCTATATTCTTAACAATTGGTCATTTTATCTGGAACTAGGAAGTTTGTCAGATACAAATCCTGACCTTAAAATGTGTGTCAATGTTTTCTGAAGGATATTTCAGAGTTTTGAAAGTAATAGTTTGAAGGAGATTTTAAAGTTTTGAAAATAATAGACAACAGCAGCACCAGGAGGGATAATATATTGATGCATGGGGAGAGTAGTCCAAGGCAGTAGTTATTGTTCAGAGTCAAGCAGTAAAAATGAAGGACAGGAAAAATGGAAAGTACTAAGTATAGAATTTTGAGCTGTTTCAAGTGTTTTAATAGCATTGTATGTACATTGGCACTGAAAATGGTGTATTATTTGTAACTGGGTTACTTCTGTCACTCTACTTGAAAGCTGTCAAGGAGAATTGAAAAATTAACGCCCTTTCATCATTGAAGATTTATGCTTAAGGGGAACCTGGCTATGAAACTACAGTGGCCTTCTTGATCTCTGCATATATTCTAGAAAAACTAATTTGCTTCACTCTAGTTTTTCCCCCCCCACAGGAGTTAGCTTTTGAGGGAATGCTTGCTTATAGGAGAAATTGTACGTGTATATTTGTCCAGATAAATCAATGTTTCATCATTGGAAGAGGGGATTCTGCATAAAAATAATAAGGATTAATTAGTCTTAATGTTATATGGCATATGTGTTTGTGAGCAATCCCTTCAACTGTTTCCCCGTTTCTTTTCCTTCATTCTTTAATTCCTTATTGTTCTAACCTACTTTCCCCCAAACAGGGAAGCTGCTTCTTTATAAACTTACCTAAATTATAAGCAGTTACAGAATAACAGAGTTGGAAGGGACCTTTAAACAAATAACGGCTGGTTCATATTAAGCTTTATTAAATACCAGACATTTAGTAATGTTAATAACAGAATAACAGAATTGGAAGGGACCTTGGAGGTCTTCTAGTCCAGCCGCCTGCTCAGGCAGGAAACCCTCTATCATTTCAGACAAATGGTTGTCCAGTCTCCTCTTAAAAACTTACAGTATTTCAGCATTCACAACTTTTGGAGGTTGGTTGTTCCACTGATTGGGACTGGAATTTTGGTTGCTAAGCATTGTGGACATTAAGCGAGTTCTCAGGTGACCAAGTCCATTTTTATAACCATTTGTTACATTAATAAATCAGGCAATCATAAAGCGAATCCAGATTCCTCCATTGACTTTGCTTGTCTGAAATCAAGTGGGAAGGATGCAAATCATGATCTTGTAATCTTAAGATGCTGCAAGTGTCATAAATGTGAGCTGGTTGCCTAGCTCTCAAATTGTGATTACATGACTGTGTGGGTGGTATGAGGGCACTAACTTTGAGGGAGAGTCATAAGTTGTGCTTCATGGGCACATTGTAACTTTGAACTTTTGTTAAATAAACAATTATAAATTGAGGACTATCTATGTACCACAATTACAATATCAATTTAATAATATTTTGATTATATTATTACTCCAGGTATAGTCATATATTGTGTAGCCTGATTATAAACTCCAAGTTTGTTTGCAATAACAGGAACAGAAAAGTTAATAGAGAAATAGGTGCAAAACAAGATCTACAGTATTTGGGACAGAAATTTCTGACTGATTTCAGCCAGAATGGAATCTGTGCCAGATTTATGTTTTGAATACTGATGTATTTACTGCAACTATGTTGTTGTTGTTAGTTGTGAAGTCGTGTCCGACCCATCACAACCCCATGGATAACATTCCTCCAGGTCTTCCTGTCCTCTACCATATTCTGGAGTCCATTTAAGCTCACGCCTACTGCTTCAGTGACTCCATCCAGCCACCTCATTCTCTGTCATCCCCTTCTTCTATTACCCTCAATCTTTCCCAACATTAGGCTCTTAGTGAGTCCTTCCTTCTCATTAGGTGGCCAAAGTACTTGAGTTTCAACTTCAGGATCTGGCCTTCTAAAGAGCAGTCAGGGTTGATTTCCTCTAGGACTGACCGGTTTGATCGCCTTGCAGTCCAGGGGACTCGCAGGAGTCTTCTCCAGCACCATAGTTCAAAGGCCTCAATTCTTTTGCGCTCAGCCTTTCTTATGGTCCAACTTTCACAGCCATACATTGCAACTGGAAAACCATGGCCTGGACTATACGCACTTTTGTTGGCAGGGTGATGTCTCTGCTTTTTAGTATGCTGTCTAGATTTGCCATAGCTTTCCTCCCCAGGAGCAAGCATCTTTTAATTTCTTGGCTGCAATCCCCATCTGAGGTGATCTTGGAGCCCAGGAAGATAAAATCTGTCACTATCTCCATTTCTTCCCCATCTATTTACCAGGAATTGAGACGCATAATACCCATGTATACCAAGCAAGTCCATAGTCACTGATGAATTGTATCCATCTATTCATTAAATGTTCCCTATGGAGAGGTTTTGAAGGAATCTTGCTGAGAATAAACCTGTGCTCAACATTTTAGTAAAGATTTGGAAGGGAAGATGGATGAATATTTATTAAATTGCAGTTGACACAGATGCTAACCTCTTAGAAGACAGAAAGAAATTCAGAATGTTGCTGATAGATTAAAAAGTAGAGAAAAGAGAATACAAAATGAAATTTAGTAGGGATTCACAACAGTTCTTCATCTAGAACCATATTAAATTTATATTAAATATAAAGGTATAAGGAGGAAGATGGTTTGCTTGGCAGTAACATGCCTGAAAGGGAACATAAAAAGTTACAGTATAGTGACTCTCTAGTTGAATTTAATTTAGGAATGGAATGTAGCTTTAATATTAATTTAGAACTAATTTAGAACAATTGCTTCAAGATCAGGGGCATAATCATTTCACTCTGTTCATTGGTTGGAAATTCATTCAGTTCCCTGTCTGGTTCTGATCATCGTGCTTTAAGAAGGATTCATGTAAATTAGTTCACACAGCCAAAACAACAGTAATCTGAAAATTCAGTCCTGCAGGAGCAGCTTGCTGAAGATATAATAGCGCTCTCTAAATACAACCTTGAGTTGCAACCATTTGCAACTGTTTGAAGTTACAAGAGCCTTGAAAAAGTGACTTGTGACAGGTTTTCACACTTATGACCATTGTAGCACCCCCATGGTCCCATGATCAAAATTCATAACTGGCATGTATATATATATCAGTTGCAGTGTTCCAGGGTCAAGTGATCACCTTCCCAGCTGGCGTCTGACAAGCAGAGTCAATGGGGAAAGCCAGATTCACTTAACAGCTGTAGTGGTTCACTTAGCAACTGTGGCAAAAAGGTCTTCAAATGGGGTGCAACTCAGTTCACAACTGTCTTCCTTAGCAATGAAAATTTTGAGCTCAGTTGTAGTCATAAGTTGACTACCTGTATTGGAAGCAGCATCATGACTTGTTCTCCAATATAACATCCCAGAATATAGGGCCTAAGAATAGTTAGCTACTGATGATATAGGTCCTGATGAACAAATGGTCACTATTTTAACCCATCCCAGTAATAACTTTTCCAAGTAATATATTTGATCCCATTTGTCCATATTATCTGTTGTCTTCCCCCTTTTCTATGTTTTTTCAATCTTGCAAAGCATAACAATTTTTCTTAATACATTACTTCTCTTGCATTACCTTTCCTAAATATGTGCATTTCTAATAGATGGGCATCATTGCTTTAACTATTATGATCTTTGTTGTTACAAAACAAAGGTCATTGAAATGGCCTTACCCATCATGATCCAAGTTTGTCATTGTCTTTCTCTATAGAATTAATTACTTTTTTACTTCTCAAACACACAGTCTTTATCTATTCTTGAATCACATAAAGCAAAACTACTATTTTTTATCATTTTTAAATACACTGTGTGCGCTGGTTGATTTTTCCTTTGCTCTGATTACATGAAGGCAGGTTCCAGATAGGAAGAAACTTCTAATGGGAAAAGCAGATTCCCTGGGGGACTACTTTCCTATAAAGTAGTAAAGTCTCACTTCTACTGAAACAAAGGCTAGACAGCCACCAACTATGGATGTTTTATTGTGCATTCCTGAATTCAGCAAGAGGTTGTGCTCTGTTGCCTAAATAGCCTCTGGACATTGTTTTTAAACCTCAAAGAATGAGTATTAATTCCTGAAGTAAGTTAATCTAGCCTCATATTAAAGATAAGGAGTCTACTTCTAATCACTTTTAGTTTTTGAGTTGTCCTTATGTTATCCTTTGGCAAAAGCACTTGGCTTCCATTCATCTCTTCTTCAATATTAGGTAATAATGAGGTAATTATTTCTTAAAGCATACAGATTTTCAGGCACAAATAACAAGGAGCATTCATTGATTTCAAAGCACAGAAGAATTTATTATTGATAGATATACACTAGAATCTAGTCAACTAACAGTCAAAGTTAAATTAGCACCAGATAAAAATCAGTGGAATTCATAGGGGGCTGGACTTGGGTCTCTGTGGCAACACAATGACTTCAAACTGATGACTTATTTAATTCTGCCTTCCACTTCAACCTACTCTTCTCCTACATCATGGGTGTCAAACTCAGTCGTGTCACATGATGTATTGTGATGTTTTTTGCCTTTGCAGAGCACTACAACAACTATTGGGAGCGGGACTTACAAGGCTCTTAAATTTCTTAAACTGTTTGGAGCATTTGTTGATGATAATGATGGTAGCACTCTTCCTTCTGAAAGATATTACAATAGTATATAAGAAGAATAAAAAATAGTTGAAGAGACCATTAGCAATTAAAACGAGGCAATGAAAATATAAGAGTTAAAATATCATTGATTTAAAAAAAAAAAGAACTTCAAAAATCTGATCTAGGTATAGTGTTTATCCTGCAAATTGCTGATTGAAAGATATCTTTTCAGTTGCCTTTAAATCAAGATTCTATGGGCTCTGGCAGTTTTGTTTTTGTTTTGTTTTCAAACTTGGCAACTTTAAAATTTGTGGCTTTCCTCTGCTGGTTGGGAAATCCTGAGAGTTGAAGTCCACACACTTTAAAATTGCCAAGTTTCAGGAACACCAGGCTACAGCATTATACTGATTTCCCTCCCCCAATAAAATAGTCTTAACATATATAAATAAATAACAAGGCTGCAATTAACATACTATTTCTTTCCTCCCTTCTTCAGGTGAAAGAGCTGAATGTGGAACAACTAGGTAAGTGGAACTCTTTGTTTTTGTATTTTATTCTGGTGATTGGTTGGTACTCCTTCTATAAGAAGGACTAAACTATTTAAAATTCATTTGCTTCAAATTTATAAAAAATCTTCCAAGCATGAGCTGTAGGGGGGAAAAATGGCAGCTCTCTCCCTGCATGAGTGGCTTACTTCTGACTCCATTACTCAGATATATTAATTAGAAGGTTAACAAAAAGCCTCTTGCTGCAGTGGCAATTTCCAGCTGACTCGCTCTGAAATCACATAAGGCTCTGTCAGCAGAGAGTACTGCAGAAGCTTCTTGGATGTATCAGAGTTTGCTCAGCTGCTTATAACAGTGACCAGGATCTTTAGCCAAACTGGGGCTCTTTCCTTTGCTAGTTAATATATGCTCAGGGACAAATTACAGTGAATGAGCTGAGAGACCATGTAAATACATTTAATATATGAATTTTAAAAATAAATCCCCAGATATGGGATTAATTTCCAGATCATGATATATGATGGTTTCTGAATCATTCTTTTCTCTATAATAAAGAGGGTGAAAAATAGGCATTAGGAATAAGAATAAATTTTGAATTCCCATAAGAAAGGAGAGTGCTGGGGGGGGGGGTTAGGAAAAAAAGCACCATTGACAAAGGACATTGACAAAAGTGAGCTGCTCTTAGAAATTGGAAGGAGAGCAACATATGATTCAGTTAAGAAGTAAAAGGTAATTTAGAAGCAGTTGGCTGTAGTGATAAAAAAGCAGTTATGGAAAAACTGAATGGGTTTCATAGAAGGTAAGCTACCCATAGCTGATTTACGCATTCATGGCTGCCTAGTAATACCCACTTCTAAATTAGGGATTGATTAGCTCACATTCTCATGCAAATACACCAATAATGGGGAATCATTAGCTCAAATGATCATTTATATTTTCAGCTAAAGGAAAGATTTCCAAATTTCTTTGATCCACATAATGCGTGGACATAAAGAAGTAATCATTTGTGTACAGAAAAGCAGTTTGACTAAACCTGGCAGGTGAACTAATTCTAAATTTTCTCATTGAAAGATAGAAAAGAGAGAGAGGATAATAGTTACCAGATATATGGTGGAAGAAGGTGCAAGGAAATATAAAGTACAGATTCTTAAGTTTATAATGAATACAAGGTATTTAATTTCCTGTATGCAGAAAACATACAGGAGACCCTCCCAGTAGCTCGGTTATTTGGATTGAAATGTAAGTGGATTCAAATTTACCTAGCTCATTTTGCATAAACTGGAACTCTATCCTCCACAAAGGCCAAACAATTCCAGCTAGCTTCTTCTGGTGTTGATGAGAAGACCAAATGGATCAAGCTAAATAATTTGGATAAAATTAAAATACACCCCTCCCCGGTCATCTCAGTTTGTTTCAATTTTTATGAGTTATTTCTCATAAGCACTGCTTCCCTACTTGATCACCAGGACCATTTCCACTGAAGCCCCAAATGTTCATGGAGAATATATTCTATCAGACACTAAACATGCTGGTAGTTTATGTCTTGATATAAACAGAGCCAGGTTTTGGACTGTGGTTTTATACATTTCTTAATTTGACTGGTTTTATGCTAACAAAATCAAAATATTGAGTCAAGGTGTCTGCCTAATCCCTAAGCAAAATACAGAGTGCCAGCACACAGAGCCAACCAGCTACATGAAGATACTGAGAAATAGGACAAAGAACCAAGCCAGCATTTATTTGGTGTTTTCTTGGGAGCCTTGAGGACTATATCCTTTAAAGGTGGTATAAAATCAACATAGAGAAGGAATAATAATTTCTGATCCACAAATTGGATCAAAAGAGATTTATCTGAACATACTGAAATTTAAATGCAGTGTGATTTCTAGCCAAAGAAATTGGGTATGCTCTAGGACTGCCTAGTACTCTTTTACATGAAAGAGTGCTATAAGAAAAGGATATGCTAGCTTTAAAATCTTAGTTTCTTTTTGAACAATTTTTTAAGTTATAAAAGTTCACTCTTGATCCAAGATTTGAGGATAGTAAGATCATTTTCTTTGTTATTGTTTGTCATGCTTCCCCTTCTCTTAATATGCACAGCACATGCCTTGAAGGACTGTTCAAAGCTGGTCATTCTGGCCCAGCCTTGTAGACTCACTGAGAGGTCTGTATGCTTTCTGCCAAGGAAGGAGATACAAGCAAATGGCTCCAGAACTCCCAAATAAATGCAGCTCCTCTTTTTAGCTCAGTTTGCAATAATAAAGAAAAAGAAAGAACAATCGATTGTGAGGTCTGACAATGCAGCAAAAGAACCAGAAATATTTTTTTTTAAATAACAGTAAAGCTTCATTGTTTAATTGCACTGTGCAGGATTAGCAAAGAAATTTGGAACTGTTTTAATAATGGTAGAAAAATAGCTTTTAGAAACCAGCTTCCTTCAAATGTGAAATTCTTTTTCTAACTAAATGCACGAGAATTCAGGATTATGAAGTGGTTGGTCAGTTTAAATTATACAAAAAGAGTCATTTTAATTGTATGCACATGGATTTTTTTTTTTTTAATTTGGAGAGGCAATTGAAAGAAACCATTTTAATTTGTTAGAATGCACTAGGTTGGCCCTCTGTAGCGAAGGATAATAGTGGATGGAGATAAGATGAAGTTTGTGTAAAAATTTAAAAAACTAGGATCCTGGTGGTATAAGAGTTTAGAATCTTTTCAGGGAAGGGAAGATTTGCCCAGCTTATTTTAAATATTGTTTTTTTCCTGCTTAAAATGAACTACATTGTAAATAGAATTTTGCTAATAGTAATAGGTAAGCAATTTCCCAACCCTCTTCCTCCAAAGTAAGGAAACTGGGTGTTGTATCCTTGAGATTCAGAGAAACTCTTCATGTCTTCAGTATTTCAATGATATACTGTCGAAAAAGATATCCAGGTTCATGGAAGCAATGGTTCACCTTCCCAGAGGCTTCTCCGGGTCTCTGTTTGCAGTCTTAGAGCTCTTTTCCCTGCCATTGTATTCACACTGATGTTTTATGATTTCTTTTGTTCCATTTCCTCAGGCCCCCTTGTCTTCCCCCTAAACCACAGAAAATGAGGAGACCTAGGCCTCTCTCAGTCTATAAACATAAACTCTTTAACGGCAATATGGAAACATTCATTAAGGTATTGGCTGTTTAACAGTAAGAGTCTGTGAACACTGTGGATGTAATGGTAGCATTCTCCCCTTCTAACCACTGATCTGTTTCCTTTCCTCGGACCAGGCCTTTCCCATGCACTGCACATCACGCCATGAAAATGGTTGGTATGCTGTCTCTCTCAGGGCAAAATCTGCTGGTGCCACACTTGAGCTAGCAAGGGACCCACTTTATTCTTGGAGTTCTGTACATTTGTTTTTGCAAAGTAAAGGGACGAGGTAATAAGAAAGATTTTTTCGGGAACAAAATGTAAGGATAGCATCCTTTGTTCCTGCCAGCAGGCTAATTGGTAGTCTATCATATCTTGTTCCCACTACAGGCTGAGTTACCTGGTTCTTTGAAGTTTATACAGACATCCTGAAATTTAAATGTAGCGTGATTTCCTCTCTTAGAAAAGTATTTCCTGCAAATCAAAGTTAAAATAAAAAGTGGCGTTTTTATGAGTTCCTGGTGTTTTATTCAGGGTTTACCAAATTTGTATAACTGCTCTTCACATAGCTTATCTAAGCAACTCCTAAAGCAAATATAAAATTTAAACCACAACAGTAATTGATTAAGAAATAACATGATAATTAAGACTTGCCTATGAAACAAGAGTGTTCGATCATAAAATATAAACTGTTTTAAAGATCTACATTAACAAGTAAGTCTTCATCTGGTGCTGGGAAAAGGGTGCCACAGGAACCTTTGCTGAAATGTCCTTCATCTAATTTTTACTGTGTCACCTCATTTAGCAAGCTTAGAAAAATGTAGTGAAATATAATGCCAGTGAGAATGCTTTTAATTTCCAATACTTCAGAGATTAGAGATGAGAAAAAAAATCTGATAGGGATCCAAATTCTCAAAATACTCAAAACAACTGAGCCTATTGGTCTCAATTGCTTTATTGTCTTCTTAGGTTTGCTAAAATTCAGCGATACTGCACAATTCAGGAAGAGATCCAATCTTACCCATTTACTTATAACCAGAAGCCACTAAGTTGAACAGAAAGAATCAAGCAAAATGAAGGGGGATAGTTTTTCTGGTAAAAAAAGCAGATGATTAATTATCATAACTCAGTCTTGCCACAGTGTCATGGCCTCCAACAGAAGTGCCACATTGGGAATACATCTTGGAGCTGCAAATAGTACTCAAAATAATTTGGACAACCTGCAGCGTTTTCTTTTTAAAGAATTGAATTATCACAGGCCTGCAGCCCATACAGTAAAAGAGGCAAAACTACAGCATTAAACACTTTTAATATTGAAATCAACATCAAAACCAAAAGGTAAAACATTGGCACATGAAAGGAAGTCAAGGCAGCCCAACAAAATGGGGAAAAAAGCATTTTAGGAAATACAGAATACCAAAGCAAAAAACTACGGCTATCGTACTGAGGTATTCCCCTGAACAAAAAAGACAAGAATTTCGGATTTTGCCAAGAGAGTTATGTAAAATGAACTGGGCAATGGAACTGTAGGAAGAACTCCATATGGGAAAAGGGATAATGGCAAGAAGAGTCTGAGAGTCCATTGCCGAAGCAGAGTAATTGCATACCAAGCAGTTCTATGGGTGTTGGACAGAGCCTGAACTACTGTAGTTCCTTCTAAGCTGCCATTGCATTTGAGCTTTCATAGCCTCTGGAAAATGTGCTTACCCTAACTGTTCTTACTCTTGCTTAACCTTTTCTTTTCTCCCCTACTTTGCTGCTTTATTTGCTTATCAGAGGAAGAAGGAATGCTCGAACAAGAAATCAGGTACTGACTAGAGGGCCCCTCCCATCTAGAAAAATATACGTGTTATATACAGTATTGTAAGAAGTTGCTATGGTTCAAGATATCTCGTTCAAGAGGTCCCTTCTTTGGAGGAGAAAAACGAATAAGTACAAAAGCCAAAGTTCACGAGAGGATAACTTTCCCAAACGTATTCATACACATAGATAAATATACAAGATTCTGCATAAGTCTTTAAAACGGGTTTTGTGGAAAAACACATCACATCACACATCAAAAATGAAATTTAGTTGCCCGCTCTCAAAGTGAAACACATACATGACACACACCTAAACATACTATATACAACATAGTATGTTAAATGGAAGCATTAGTGTAGCTTAGCCAATGTCTGGTTTGGCTCATAGCTTTGATCCAGATGCCTCAATTTGATAATCAAGATTCAGCTTCTTGGGAACATTGCTAAATTAACTTTCTTACAGTGGACAGTATAAAGGATGTATAGATTACTGTTTGAAAGTTTACGTATTTTAATTTCTTGCTAACTCCGTGACTGAACTAACAGCTCATTTTTCAACCTGCAATTTTGCTTGAGTGTGCTTCATGAAACAGCTGTTCTCATCAGATCAACATACCCAAATCAATATATTCACTTTTTTTTTTTAAAAAAAATTCTGTTTCTTTCCCAAGGATTCTGGACAGGCAATTCCACTTGTGGTTGAAAGTTGCATTCGTTATATTAATTTATATGGTAAGTTGAATTGCTCCCCTCCACATTGGCCTCAAGATTTTCTTTTAAGGTTTTCAGCACAAGAATGTGTCTCCACTAAAATGCAAAATGATATGTCAACTTATTTGACTAATTACATGGGGCTTGGCCATTGTTATATTTAATTAATAAATGCTTGCCTTAACCAGAAAACAAAATATTTTTGGAATGAAAAATAGTTGGATATGGAATTGTGCTCATTGACCAAATTATTTGTCTGGATACTTTTGACTGAAAGCCAGGGAACTATTTCTTCTCCCTCTGCTGCTGGTGACTGAAAGTTTTTAATTTTGTTGTAGTATGAGCTAGATAGTGCTACTAGCCTAGAGCTAGGCTTTAGGTCAGTAATAACAAACCTTGTAGGCTCGGTGTGTCAGAAATTCAGAAAACACCTAACTTGACTCTGCTGACATGTCACAATTCATGAAACAATTCGTAACAAAGAGTCACTTTGGATAGTGATATTGGTGGCATATAAATTTAATAAAGAAATACATAATCGTAAATACTTTTCAATTTGTCTTATCTGAGACAGCTCCAGCTATCTGGAAACTTTGGACAATGCTCTTATTTGGCCTTGCCAGCAACATACGAACAGAAAAGCATACCCCATTCTTGTGCTTTTTGGAAGCTCCAAAGGTTGTGTGAGAACACACCACATTCTTGTGTGACTCTGGAACCTCCAAAAATCCATGAGAATATCTGCCCTTTTGAGAGGCTGCATGAGAATGTGGTGTGCTCTTTGTGCAGCCTCTGGAGTTTCCAGAAATCATGCAAGAACATTCTTGCACACTTTTCAGAGCCTCCAAAGGCTCTGTGAGAACAAAATCCTCTTGCACAAGTTCCAGGTGATCTGGAGACTACACAAGCGTTCACAAAATTCTCATGCAGCCTTTAGGCATATCACCCAAAAAACGATATGATATGTCATTGTGACACTCATGTCATAGGTTCACCATCACTACTTGAGGCCATATTAGGCTTCCTTAAATTCTTGTCTGTCACTATAAATCCTCCTCTCTCTCTCCCCATGTATAGGGATTAAATCAACAAAAGGTTGCACAGAAGCTGTGGTAAAATGGGCAGGGTTATAGTCAATTGTTTATATGCAAGTTTTTGCAGAATCATTCTGGTTTTCTTTCTGTCAAGGCAAGTGAATTCTAAATCAGGTTTGACTGTCTAAAAAACCTTCCTCACCATCTGAGTTTATCTTATCTGCTTGAACATATCAAAACAAATTGCATATATAGGATTATAGGGAATTCAGTGACTTATTTCTAGATATATATGAGAAGATCACATATAAAAATGGTAAGAGATGATCTACAAGTAGATTTGGGTTAATGAGCTTATTTGTGTAGTAAAATGGCTCCCCCCCCCAACTGTTATTGTTATCCTACAAGTAAAATATATATTTGGAAGACCTAAATGTGAAGGTAACTGAAATGATTGAAATTTAAAATGGGAATTGATTCCAAATAATTTAATAGGCTTTCTTTTGAAAAAATTTTTTTTTTCACTTCAGGTTTACAACAACAGGGTATTTTTAGAGTTCCTGGATCTCAGGTTGAAGTCAATGATATCAAAAACTCATTTGAAAGAGGTATGTAATTAGTTGGACATTCTTAAAAAGTGATTTGCTGTTGTTTTATTTTACATTTATTTATTAGAATACATATACATTCTGAATTCTGTCTCTGCCTTCTCCATTGTGATCAGAGACATAATTGGTTTCTTTTGATCTTCCTCCAACCCATAGTTAGCATTGTCTATGTAGATTCTCAGTCATCAAGGTCATGGTTGCTCCAAAGGTGCTTTTTCAAAGGGTAGCTAGACTTCGTTTTTCCTTGAAGATGTTTCACTTCTTACCCAAGAAGGTTTTTCAGTTCTGAAGAAGCTTCTTGGATGAGAAGCAAAACATCTTCAAGGAAAAACAAAGTCCAGTTGCCTTTTGAAAAAGCACATTGGGACATAGTTAGCATTGTTATATTAAAGCATAGCATTTGGGATGTGGTACAATTTTGCAATACTGCTTCATAAAACCAAAGACTTTTATGATTTTTGCCCATTCTTAATTAAACACAAAATTACATCACAAATCATGTTAAAAGATACAAATGTCTGGTGAAGTTTTGCATGCAGATGATGCAGCCTCATTAGCTAAGAAACCAAATACCTTGCAATTAATATTAAATTTCTTGTATGAGTCATAAAAGTATGCTTCTGAAGTTTAATATAGCAAAACCAAAGTAGAAACATTAGAAAAATAAATTAATTTGCATACCTTGATAGAAAGTTGATTAAAGATGGAAAAATCTTTGGAGAAATGTTAAGACTTACAAATGTTGATAGGGAACTGTTTGGATATGTTGGAGGTAACGAAGTCTATGACAAGGGAGAACTTTTGGTTGGAAGGACATGATTCCTACCACTTTTATCACATAGAAGTAAGAAATGGATATATTGAATGCGGTGGAATGGGGTACTTATCTGCATAATGAAACAAGAAAACATAAGGCCAAGAATGAATGGGTGCTGAATGAATGTGGAGTGAGTGAGCGACCAGCACGAGAGAAATAGACTGAAGTGATTAAGTCATATAAAGAGAAAGAATGAAGGTGGAATTGCAGAGCAAATACATGAAGAAAAGTGAGGAAGATTGAGAAAATCATGGTTGATGAGTTCTGAGAGTCCTCTCAGAAAAGGGTGAGACCTTTGAAGAAGAAAAGATAATGTATGCATTGGTATTTGGATGCAGAAGAAACAGATGATTTGCAAGGTTGGAGAAGAAAAGTATAATAAATGGTACTTGTGGGAATTTTTTCCATTTCTTAACTGTATTTATACTGATTTCTTTTTCTGTGTGTGCTTTCTATAATGTTGTTTACCCTGAAAGACTATAGAATGATTTGTTTGCATGTACATATTATTATCCTACGTTACAGTTTGGCAGGATTATGATGATAATGGGATGACAAGAACAACAACAATAATTATTCAGGGAAGCTGTTTTCATAATAATAATAATAATAATAATAATAATAAAGTTGGAATAATAATAATAATAAAGTTGGAAGGGATCTTGAAGGTCATCTAGTCCAACCCCCTGCTCAGGCAGGAAACCCTATACCATTTCAGACAAATGGCTGTCCAGTCTCTTCTTAAAAAACTTCCAGTGTTGGAGCATTCACAGCTTCTGGAGGCAGGTTGTTCCACTGGTTAATTGTTCTGTCAGGAAATTTCTCCTTAGTTCTAGGTTGCTTCTCTCTTTGGTTAGTTTCCATCCATTGCTTCTTGTCCTACCTTCAGGTGCTTTGGAGAATAGCTTAATTCCCTCTTCTATGTGGCAACCCCTGAGATATTGGAACGCTGCTATCATGACACCCTTCATTCTTCTCTTAATAATAATAATAATAGTAGTAGTAGTAGTAGTAGTAGTAGTAGTAGTAGTAAAGTTGGAAGGGACCTTGGAGTCTAGTCCAACCCCCTGCTCAGGCAGAAAACCCTATACCATTTTGGAAAAATGGCTGTCCAGTCTCTTCTTAAAAACCCCCAGTGTTGGAGCATTCACCGCTTCTGGAGGCAGGTTGTTCCACTGGTTAATTGTTCTAACTGTCAGGAAGTTTCTCCTTTTTTGTAGCAACTTTTTATTACTATGATGTATTGTGTCTTCTGTATAATCTAGAACTGGAATCTAATGTTATAAATAAATCTTTTATCTCAGGTGAAGATCCCCTTGCTGATGATCAAAATGAACGTGATATTAATTCTGTTGCTGGGGTCTTAAAATTGTATTTCCGGGGACTGGAAAATCCACTCTTTCCTAAGGAAAGGTTTCAGGATTTGATATCTACTATAAGTAAGTAATTTATAATAAGTCAGTTTCTTGAATTTTGCATATTATTTTCATGTGGTAGTAAAGGTGCTTATGTGAAGTAAATCATGATTTATAGCTTTGTGTAAATGCCAACCAAGCTTCTATAGTTTATTGCATAAAAAGTGGTTATAAACATAGCTAAGAGTAATGTGCAGTATGATAAAAAAACAATTTTATTACTAATGTGAGCTGAATGACCTGGCAAGATATTATGTAATGTATATTGCAGGGTATTTGCATATCTATATTCCCATGTACTTTATTATGTATTGTGTGGTTGAGAATGCAGCTCCTCTTCCTATTTTCTTTGTTATAAGCAAGAAGCTAAAATATCCTTTCAGTAGAAAAATAAATTGTGCAAAATTTATAAAAACTATACTCTCGTAAGCAGTACCAGCAATATGAATAAATATTCAAGGACAATTTAATTGCATTGTCCTCTTCCATATTGCTTTAAGTAATATTTGTAATATCTTGTTTATATTACTGAATACCTTGTAGATTGTTCTGTTCATATATATTGTGGAAACAAGCTTACAAATAAAATGAAACTTGACATTTATCATATTAAAATAATTTAGAGTTTTGTTTAGACTTGTTTTAATACAGAAAAAAATTCTGATTTTTGAACAGTAAGGCCTCTAGGAAAAAGCATACTTAAACTAATCTATAATCTCATGTAACTATCCTTCTACTTGTAATGTATTTTGTACACTCCATTGGTAATAGTTTGGGGAATTAATCCTTATTAAAGAGGAACCTATCTTTTATCTTGCTCACTTTCTGAATCTTAATCCTGCACTATTTTTGTCCAGTATTTTTTTTAATGATAATGGTCACACATGAGGTTTAAGGTTGCATACTCTTCTTCTTAATCATTCCTTCAGTTGTATACTGCATAGTGCATTCATTACTTAAAAGATAATTAAACAGGTGTTGAATTTTTTTGGTCTCTGCCTACATCATTTACTTTGTCAGCAATGTTCCTTGGTGACACATCCCCTTTGGTTGGGGATGGTGGTGTGATGCAGTATTGAAGTAATGGTCTCCTTTCTATGGTTAAGATGTCCACCATCATTGTGTTGGATCAACTGGGCATTCCATCCAGTGCAGAATTAAAAAACCTGAAAGCAATATTAGATTTAAAAATACATTAATAACAAGGGACATGTTGTAAAATAAACCTGGAGAACATTAGCCTCTTGAAAAGATGCAACAGGCAATTTCCACAGAATTATTAGAGAGACAAAAGAAATTTATAAGCACACAAATAATTTAAATAGAGATGACGGATCAACTGTTATCCTACTGCAGTTAGCAATTATTTGTGGCATTCTGCTTCACTGAACGTAAGCAGTATATAAGGACATGACAGCTGTTATTGAGTTCAGTTTCAGATATACCTTCAAAAAGCTAACAATAAGGCGACTGAAATTTCAGTATGTATTCATTGTCTTACAAGGCAGTCCCATAAGTCATTTCACCAATCACTTGCAGCAGTGAAAACCTACCTGCTGTGATTAAAGGCTTAGACAGCTTTTATTCATTACAATTCGTGTCATACTTTCTGAATTTTTGCAAGTTCCTTACCTATGCAGATACTTATGATTTATTCATACATATTACAAAGAAGAAGAAAAAGAAATATTCCAAAAATTGGGATGGAAAGAAAAACCAAATCACCCTTCATTACAAATTTGAAGGTTCTACCATATTTCCCTGAAAATAAGACTGGGTCTTGTATTAATTTTTGCTCCGAATGACGCATTAGGGCTTATTTTCCAGTTAGGTCTTATTTTCGGGGAAATAGAGTACTAAATGCATCCATCTGGCTGACGATCTTAACCCGGGGCTTATTTTTGGTGTAGGGCTTATATTATGAGCATCCTGAAAAATCATGCTAGGGCTTATTTTCTGGTTGGGTCTTATTTTTGGAGAAACACGGTACTTCCACAAAAATACATTTTAAAATTGCAGATGCGTTGATTTATTTCTATGCTGCATACCATTTTCATAGTTCTGCTGATTAAATAATTTTTTAAAAAAGCTCCTTTACTGCTTCTAAAGATTCTATACACACAAACTAAAAGTTCTCTATATAGGTGACTGAGTGATCTAGGTCTTGCATCCTGTCTTGCTTGAGTCTTATTAGGAGAATTTATACACAAATCTTGAAGAAATGGCATATTATTCCAAAAACCTTATTTACAGAGAAGTAAATAATTTTTTTTAAAAAAATGATAAGTGCACTGTTTTTTTAAAAAAAAGTCTGGCTGAGGAATTCTGGGAGTGAAGTCCATGCATCTTAAAATTGCAGTGTTGGGAAACACTGTTCTAAAATACAACAAAACTTCAAGATCTAAACGCTGGTTGTAAACAATTATCGAACCAATTTATTTTGTATCTAGCAGGTGTGATTCCCTTAGATCAGATGCTTATACAGTATGTTGGAATATATAAATAAATATTTAGCTTTCCTTTTTTAAAAACAAGAATCTCTGAAGCAACATTAGTCTGTAAATTATATCTAGTAAAGATAGCTTTGACTTATGACCCTAATTAGCTCAGAATTACAGTCATAAGTCATGCTGATTATTAAGCAGGTCACCATGTGACTGCATCTGATTTTATGACTTTTTTTGCAGCAGTGGTTAAATAAACATCATAGTCGTTAAGTATATCCATTGTCTACAATGGATGTTTTTTGCCTGAAACTGGAAGTAAATGGCAATTTCTGACAAAAAAAAATAAACATTATAAATCACAGTCACCTGACTTGGGATGCTGCGTATGGCCATACATTCAGGCCGTTGCTGAGCTTCTACATTTCAATCACATGACCTCAGGAGGAGCATTGTGACTTCAAATCCAGGTCGGAGGTAGCCCTGGGGAGGTCTGTCATAGCTTTGGTCACTAATCGATCAATTGTAAATCAAGGACTACTTGTAGTGAGCAACAGAAGAAGTAGCACCATCCTCACCCTCTGCCCAGTCAGTTTGCTTGCTTTGAAGATGAATTGCTGGATTTGGATCCAAACCTCTTTTGTTCAGCGTATGCTTGGTTCGAATGTTAATTTTGTCACTTAATAATGTAGTGAATGTACACAACATCTCTTCTCAGTTCTGCTCTTGGATTACTGTATCTTTATTTGATAGTTTTTGAAATATTTTCTACTTGTCCAAGAAAGGACAACTTGATGTGCAAAGAGAAGTAAGTGCCTGTCCCACAGAATAGCAGATTGTTTTGTGAAGTTGACTCCCAAGTTATTTGTCTTTGTAAGAAACTCAGTCAACAAACTTTCCTTGACTTGTTCTGTTATCATTTTTGTTTCTGTGAACCTCTTCAAGTCCAGGGTACACTAGACAAATGTGGGGATGTATGTACAAATAAATAAATAAATAAATGAGAGGTCGAATCTGAACACACGTTTCATTTTTATGTTACAGAAATTGAAAACCCTGCTGAAAGAGTGCACCAGATCCAGCAAATCATTATCACTTTGCCACGAGCTGTCATCGTTGTAATGAGATACCTCTTTGCTTTCCTTAACCAGTGAGCATTTTCTTTAACTATTTACTTCAAATGAAGCTGAAATAGCCTTCCTTGGTCAATACTCTTCCCGTTCAGTGTGTCTTTTCCCTCAGACCTAGCTCTGGGCAAAAGGGAGGGGTGTCACTTGACCATCTTTATTTGTAATAGTTGTCTTTTGCCCAGCTGGAGGAAATGCCTATAATTTGTAATACTTGAAACTTGGTGTCGTAGCTGTGGGTTACTTGTATTTGCAGCTTGTCACAATACAGTGATGAAAACATGATGGATCCCTACAATCTAGCCATCTGCTTCGGACCAACTTTGATGCATATTCCAGATGGGCAGGATCCAGTGTCTTGCCAGGCTCATGTCAATGAGGTCATCAAAACCATCATAATCAATCATGAGGCCATCTTCCCTACCCTCAGGGAACTGGAAGGACCTGTTTATGAAAAATGCATGACTGGTGGGGAAGAGTACTGGTAAGAAACTTAGGAATGAAATATGTGCATTTAGCATCTTAAGAAGATTAGGAATTTCTTCTTTTTAAAATATCGGATACTTATTTCAGGTGTTCTTAATTTAAATAGTAAGATGATTTAGGGTTATTTCTCTGCCCAGACTGGAATGGATTGTTGTATATGTATGAAGTACAAGGAATAATTATTTTTGTTTTGTTGCACAGGAAGATTTCAAATAATGTTGGGCTACTGGAGTGTAGGAATCCAATGGAGGTTAGAGCCTTTTTTTAGGTCCTTTAAGAACATAAATAGAGATTGCTTAGAACTAGTTTCACTCAATCCAACATTCTTCTTTCCATAGGGGAAACCCAAATTCTTTCTTAATAGCCCATAATCACGGCATGAGTTGTATCTATAACTCCCTATTGCCCTCGTTCTCAATCAATCGATATTAGTTTCTGTTTTCCAAATGCAGAGTTCTCTCTTTTTTTTTAAAGAAGTTGTCACCTTTTCTGTTTCAATGATTTGCTTTTTAGTACTTGTAGTGTTGATTCCAGCAAGAAGAAATACAGTGATCCAAATATATAAATTCATGTATAACACCATCAAGAGTTTTAATCTTTAGTACACATTCTGCTCATTTGAGGCATATTTTGATGCATTAGTAAGATTTGTTAAGACACAGGTAACAAGACCTTTTAGGCTAGAAACCACATTTTCTCCTTGTGTCCACACTTTGGTGAGGCTTAGGACACCACAGATGGGTTGCTGTGGGCAATATGTCAGCCATGTGTTTCCTAACTCTAGTTTAGACAGATTAAACATAATCCTTCTTTCATTTTATATCCATTAACCATCTTTTCCGTCAACTTTACATTATTTTGAACAAAAATTAGTATTTAAAGATAGTTTCCTGGCTATATGATACGTTGTCCTTAGGTGAGATCAGGTCTTTCTTTAGTCTGTTGATTACAGCTGCCATACCTCTTACTGGTTGCAGTTCATGGGAGCTGAAGTCCAAAATGTGTAGAAGGTACCAGGTTGCCAAGGAATGGGTTAGATTTTAATTATTGGGTACGATCATGAAGTCATTGCTTGCATTAGAACAAACAGTGAAGGTTCTTAAAAGCATTTATTTTGTTTATTTTACAGTTCACTCTTGTTTAGCATTTCATTGTCTTGATGGGCTTAGCAATTACACTAAACTGATAATTACTCCCAAAGCTAACTATTAGATCCTATATACGTCTACTCAGAAATAAGCCCAGTTGAGTTCAGTGGGACTTGCTCCCAGGTAAGTATATACGAATGAAACAATGTTAGGGAGGAAAAAAACTGAAAAAGAACTGAAATATTTTAAACTGTAATGAAGCTAAGACCAATACCCATAGCCTAAATGCCCATTTTTTCCCCCAAATATTCCTTATTTTGGGTGGCACGGTAGCTCAGCGGTTAAGACACTGGGCTTGTCAGCTGGAAAGCCAGCAATCCAGGTTCGAGACATGAGCTCCATGCGATGGTGTGAGCTCCTGTCCTTGTCCCAGCTCCTGCCAAACTAGCAGTTTGAAAGCATACAAATGCAAGTAGATAAATAGGTACCACTTTGGTGAGAAGGTAACAGCACTCTGTGACATCATGCTGGCCACATGATTGTGGAAATGTCTTCTCATTGAAACAGAGATGAGCTCTGCCCCCTATAGTCAACAAAGACTACTGGAGTAAAAATCCACAGGGACTCCTTTACCTTTACCTTTTATTACTTATTTTACCTCTCTACATTGCTCTGTATAACTATATAGGAATCTCAGAAACTCAATAAAATATTTGGAAAGGAGGAAATGGTTCATATTCTAGTATAGGCTTTCATGGCTCACATCAATCAAGCAGTGATGAGCTTTTTGTTTGAATCACTGTATTCTAGTTTTCTGGTATCTTAATTAATCAGGACACCAGAAAACTAAATCATGGCCATTCATTCTGAAAGATCCTCACGACTTCCAAGTTGTTGATAATAAAACTGTGTAAATGTGTCCATGAAAGCATAAGGAATTGATCATGACTTGAAGGAAACTTTACATGTAGTCATAGCTGCCAATTGTTTCAGATTCAATAGGTTTCCAGCACTTTTTCATGTAATCGTCTACAAGATCTTTGCCCCACTATCTGGGGCAACTTATAATTACTTTGCTCCAGAAGGCGACTTCTACCCTGGACTTCTCCCTTCTGGTTTCTATAGCAACAAAGGAGAACTTAAAATGGCTGCTCTTGAGAAGAAGGGCAGTCCTAAGTGGTGACAGAAGCCACTTAGAATGGTAGTAAAACTTTGTGTGAAAAAGCACAAAGCAGCCTTTTCTTAAAACAATTGTTAGCAGGAATGGGAACAAATAACAGTAGGAGCAGATGGTGATGATAGCAATGACAGTTTGTCTCATGCTGTCTAGCTCCTACTTTCCAGGCACCAGTGCATTCTTAATGGGCTTCTGTGACAGACTAAAATCTAAGGAACAGATCAATGAAAGTCTGTTTCCATTAGATCTGTTATATAAAATGGGACAAGTCCACAAAGACTGTGTTTCCTATTATGTCAGCTTAAAATTTCTTCTCAAACACAAAACAGATGTTCCCCCCCTGCTAAGCTGGGGATGCGGCTAGCAGGCAATAGCTAAGTCAGTTTCTTGGCATGAACCCATTAATCGATAATCAATCTTCTGCTACATAATTAGTACTTCAGTTCTGGATAATGGGAGATTGTAGGATTATGCCTTCAATCCTAATTTTGATTCCTTGAACAAATATATTAGAGAGATTGCCATGAGACAAAAATATGTAAACAAAGAATAAACAAGTTTCACCAAAATTATTTTAGACTTTCATTTGAATTAGCTCTGATACTTTTAAAGAACCCTTTTTAATAACTCCACAAAATACAGGACAATAGAAACCAGGGTCTAGGGCAACTCGCAATGGCCAACTTGCCATTTCACCATGGCTAACCCACCATGTCCCTCTTGCCACAGTCATCTTGCCATGGGACAACTTGCCATGGACCATTCCATGTGGGATAACTCAATGAGATAAATGCTATCCGCCACTCTTTCTTGACATTATTTCCATTTTTGTCAGTGGAAACAGTGGCAGATAATATTTATTGTGTTGAGTTATCCCACATGGAATTGTCCCATGGCAAGATGGCCATGGTGGGTTGACCATCGTGAGTTGGCTGCTACTAGATGACTGTAGTGAGATAGCCGTGATGAGTTGTCCCATTTCATAGGAACCAGGCCCAGTTCTACTGCAAGATGAGGGAAGCTCTTTAATTCACTTGGAGCAGAACAAGTAAACAGATGCCTGTCCTTTACTATCCACAACTGTTTAATGAAGAGCTCTTACCAATCACTTTGAACTGGAGTATGTTGCAACAGCCCTTTTCTTCATGATCAAAACTCTCATCGTATAGATGCTGCCGTCAGGTGCCACTACTGTCAGACATCACTCAACTCTCATGCATGTGCTTATTTCTGAGAAAGAACTGTATATTTTTTTCAACAAGGCATTCGGCTTACCACACTTGGCGAAAAAATTGAAAACATTTTCCCCCTCCCCCATGGCAGTTAAGTCATGACAACATAAACAATGGCTTAAGGCTGTCTGGCATTTTCAGAATTCACCCAACTATGCCAGTGTTTGTGTCATTTTCTTAAGTGAAGCATAATGGGCAAGATGGCATCATATTTGGCTACTGGTAGTGCCACCCATCATTGTTGCAGTGTTGTTACAACAAAAACTGCTCAGGTGGGCTCCTCTTACTATGTGGAGAAAGAATGATAGGAGGAGCTGTAAACAGCAGGATATTTATTCAACAATGCAGATGCAATGGAAGTAGAAATGTAGTAGGAGATTCGTTGAAGGTAAAATAGTATTGCAAACTAATCCTAGTAGGATTCATATTTATCTAAGATATTCTTTTGAATATTTTTTAAATGAAAACATTCTCATGGGTATGCAGACCAGCATTGAAGATTTTTTTTATAAAGTCTGAGATGTTCCAGTTTTGCAATTCTGAAATTGTTCAGTGCAAATTGTAGTTTCCTGCATTTACTTGTTAGTAAGGAGTTCACATCTCTTTCCCCTTTTATCCCCATTTTAAAAACCTCAGTGCATTTATTTATTTCACTTTTGATTCCAGTGACAGCCCACACAGTGAACCGGGCACTATTGATGAAGGAGATCATGACAATGGCACAGAGCCACACACCAGTGATGAAGGTGAGTGTAGAAACAAGCCATGGATCGTTTACATGGTGAAATGCTAATGTGCATTTAATAACTAACCTAATTTCCCTAGATTAACATAGGGCTGTTTGCAGGGGAGGATGTCTCTCTATGTTTGAGACTGCCAGTAGGTACTAATAAAATGCCTTGAAATATGTGTAATTGAAGTAGGCCCATGGGAGTTTTTCACTGCTGTCACAATTACATTCCAAGGTAATATGGAAGTTATTCTGACAGCCTGCTTAATAAGTTAAAATTCTGTTTTTTTATTTGACATAAAAGTGACGCCTCCAGTTTGATTGTTATTTTATGTAGTTCCAGGTTTATGGTAAGAAAAGGAAATGGAAAAATGTTCTTTGAAAAAAAGTCTTGACTATCAAGGATATCTACAACTTATATTTCCAGTTTTTAATATGTTTCCCAGGAAGAAAAGGATGAAAAACAATCTTTAAATGTAGGGAAAGATATAACTGACAGCATTTTGAAACTGTGTGTCAATTAAGATTTCTCAGTCAAACGTACTCTAATTATGCAATCTACTCCTTTGTTTCCTGGATTTATTTGAACTATTATATAAAGGTATTGAGGGTTATTATCATAAGAGTTACGGTATGTCCATAATACTAATATGGTGATGACATTCCCCACACATATGGTCTTGGGGACTTTAGCAGACTTGGCAAGCTTGAAGATAGCACAGGACTTTATGGCCACCATGACAGCCATGGACATATTGTTGGAATGAGATGCCTGTACATTAGATTCATGTCCCTCACAATTAGTTATGGTTTAAAGAGAGGGGGCCATACAAGTGGGTACATGTGGTAATAAATGCCTCTTTGAGAGAGGAGTTGGCTCTCATGAGGCATCTTTGGATTCAAGTGATCAGGACAATCTGTTCTAGAGTCTCCAACCTTCTTTTTTTAAGGAAAGGATGTTGAGAAGGTAATTGGTTTCCAGTTTTAAGGGTCCTGGAAAATGCAGATTTTCCAAACTTTTTCACTCAAACATCAGACTGAGTTATATCATTGAGTTGGTTTTGGCTGCACTTATCAGTGATCTGTAGTAACTTTGAAATAGGTTTGATGAATCTATCCTGGCTCTTCTTGATCTCTCAGTGGCCTTCAAACCCACTGATCAGTTGAGATGGTTGGAACAGAGAGTGCCATTTTGTGGTGGTTCTGCTTTCTTCAAGGTTGGTTCCAGCTAGGGCTGGAGCAATAAAGCCCTTAGATCCTTGCTCTGTGGAGTGCCTCAGGTTCTACCTTCTCTTTCCTCCTTTTTATATCTACATAAAGCTGCTGCGTTAGGTCATCTCCCTCACATCATTGAACAGATTGGGAAATAATAATATACCAGTATCAATTAAACATTTTGGCACATCTTTTCCTGCCTCATAAAAATTATTTTAAGTTGAAAACTTTATATAAGATTAAATGACAAAAACCCGAGGAATACAGTTCTATTCCCTCATTTCATATAATCTTTATTTGTGTCCATTTACTTTTGTATGCTAACTTTCAGAACACAATTTTTCTGTATCTGCACACTTAATATAGCTATTTGATTACATCCCCCCACACACATTGATTTGGACATTGTTGTTAAGTAATACGCCTAGAAGCAAATCTTGGCTTATTTTATAATTTAGGGAACCTTGTTACAGAGCCCTGTGTTTTACTTAAACTTAGCATGCCTCTGTTTCATTTGTTTTTATGGCTTTTAGTTCCAATAATTCTTTCTCTTTAGTGATGTTAATATCCAAATCCAGTACTTTACCAGTACAAGTTATGAGAAAATTGACATAATTGTTTGTTGGAACTAAGGGCATAAGAGGAGAAAAGGATAAGTCATCTAATTAAAGATGAATGTTTGAAAGGAGCAGGGTGATGTCCACCTTCATTTTTCAGTGTTGGTGATGACAAACAGCCTTTCTTGACTGAAAAAGTTGAAGCAAGCAAGCTTCCATTTAGGCAATTTTATGCCTGAATGGTTATGTTAATAGTTTTGATTGGAGTTTCTGGATGATTAACCATAACACAAGCATGGAGAGGAAGAGCTGTTTTATTTTAAGAATTTATATAACCCCTCTGAGTCTAATTCCACATATCTGGTTCAGTGTACTGGTGAGGACTTAGATATTTTATCTAAATTGTGTGGCTATTTTTGGAAGCCATCTTGAGACTATATATTACTATTAAATGTTGCTTCATTTGAAGCACACAAAGGCATGTGGTATAAGATAACCTTTCCCAGATGCTGTTCTTCATACAGTCAGGGTTACAATCCCCATTATGTCTAGCTGATGTTAAAGAGCATTTTAACAGAAAATGTAGAGACAAAACTAATCTAGATTGAGGGCTGTTTCTCAATATTACTGTACCAAGATGGTAACTTATGAAATCTGTTTCTGAATTGCTTTCTGCCTTTAAGTAGATAAGAACATTAAAATTGTTCTACTGGATCTGATTAAAGTTCATGTTATTCAGCATTCTGGTTTGAATGGCAGACAGCCAGGAGTTTATTAAAAAGATAATAATACATAGTATGCAAAACTGTTTATTGCTAGCATTGGATATTCTTCTGGCTATGGAGATATATTTTGGAGACTAGGTCTAATGGCATCAATAGAGGTAAACTCATAAACCTGGGTATTTTTCACTTTTAAGCTACTTTTAGCTGGAAATAGATTATAGCTTTTAAAAAGAGATAGTCTGAAAGAGAATACATACGCTTCTCCCATTTTTGCCTCCGATAAACAGGTTTTGTTAGAATTTCACCAGAAATAATGATTGATTTGATTAATTATGTGCTGCCAAGTTGGGGTCAACTCACAATTTTGTCTCTTGAGGGATTTAAGCTAACTTCATACTTCCTGGCATCTCTAAGATTCCCCCCTCCCATTTATCAAAATATAGGGAATCTTGTCCCAGCTGTCAACTATTACCCTTTCCTTCTTTCACTCTTGCACTTAAGTTACTATATGGTACCTTAATATTAAGTTGACAATTTTCTGTTTCCTAGGGAAAATAGCAAAATTATCCTTCACAGAAATATCTTTAGATAAGAAACATTCATAGTATTCCAGGAATACCTTATTGCATTAAACAAACTGTAGTAAGTTTTAATCAATTTTCTGTAATTGGATCTTTCTTCTACTGCTGTTCACCCAACTTTATAGAAGTGGAACAGATTGAAGCTATTGCCAAGTTTGACTATACTGGGCGATCCCCACGTGAGTTATCCTTCAAAAAAGGAGCTTCCCTTCTCTTGTACCATCGGGCATCAGAAGACTGGTGGGAAGGTCGCCATAATGGCGTAGATGGCCTCATACCACATCAATATATTGTGGTACAAGACATGTAAGTAAAAGTTTTACTGTACAACAGTTCGTAATTGTATTCAGTAAAAAAGATAGACTATACCAGTGGTGGCAAACCTATGGCATGCGTGTCAGAATGCATGAATGCTGGGATGCATCCGGAGATGGCAACTGTCCCTCTTCAACCAACTGCCCGCTAACTCGCTGAGGTTCTACATGGCTGGATGCATCCCAGCATTCATATACTCGCTGGCCTCTGTGTGCAGGGGCCGATGGTGTCAGGCAGCAGCCGCCCCAGCCCCTGCCTCACCTTGCCCTGTGACAATGGCATCCCCGCCCTGCCTCGACTTGCCTCACCTCATCCCACAGGACAAGCCTCTTGCCCACCACCCCATCTGCCAGAGACCCCCAGGATCTCCCCCATCCCTGCCTGGCCCCCACAGGCGTCCCTCCCCACAAGTATCATCGAGGTGATCACGCCCACCTTGGTCACACCCACCCAATCTGCCATGATCACCACAGCCATGCCCACCCAATGGGCCACACCCATCTGGCGTCCAGCAATAAATAAGTGGTTTTTGGGTTGCAGTTTGGGCACTCAGTCTCTAAAGGTTCGCCATCACTGGACTATATGAAGTACTGTTGTTGCTCTTCTAAGGAAAATGGGAAATTGATATATCATTTATGACTTTTGCTTGAGTTGAGCTAGTGCTGTGATTTTATATGTTGATTTTCTTCTTTCCTTATCTTTCTCCCAAAACATTTACATGTTTTTTTGCTATAAGCTGCATTTCAGGCAAAGAACTATCTCACTTCTTGAACTACTAGACAATCTGGGACCCATTAGGTCATCCTTACCTAAACATAGAAGCAGAGTGACCATGGGTGGGCAAAAAAAGCAGTGGGAATGGGATGTCTATGGAGATTCTCAGTCATCCAGATCATGGTTGTCTCAAAGCTGCTTTTTCAAGAAGCAACTGGACTTTCTTGTTTTTCTTGAAGGCGTTTCGCTTCTAATCCAAAAAGTTTCTTCAGCTCTGAAGCTTCTTGCATGAAATGAAATGTCTTCAAAGAAAAACGAGAAAGTCCAGTTGCCTCTTGAAAATGCACCTTTGAGACAGTGGGAATGGGAGTCACTTCTTGTGAGCTTCCCCATTGACATTGTTTGTGGGAAGCAGGCAGGGAGCTTGTAAATCACTCCTTCTCTCTCCTTAACTGACTTGCAGAACCCAAACTTTTCTGATATCACTGATATAACTCCAAATAATCAACTAGAATCATAGGATTGCCCATTGATTAATTGTTCTCACTGTCAGGAAATGTCTTCTTACTTACAGATTGGATCACTCTTTTAATGAGTTCCACCCATTCCACTTTTTGTCCTGCTTTCTTGGAGAATAAGTTGATCCCCTCTTATCTGTGACAGCCCTTCAAGTACTGGGAGACAGTTATCCTGTTATCCCTAATCCTTCCCTTTGTTAGGCTAGACATGCCTAGTTCTCTTAACTGTTTATTGCACAGGTTAACCACAGTACATCTATCGGTATTTTACCAACCTGCTGGCACAAATTAATAAGTTTTTCCCTCCTTAGGTATGAAGCATTAAGCTCAGCCTAACAGAGGTTTCTGTTGTTCACAGGGATGATGCCTTTTCTGACAGCCTTAGTCAGAAGGCAGATAGTGAAGCAAGCAGTGGACCTTTGCTGGATGATAAAGCCTCATCAAAGAATGACATTCAATCTCCAACTGATCATATTCCAGACTATGGATTTGGAGGAGTAATGGGACGGTAAAAAAAAAATATTCTCATTTGGATACAATTATCTGTCTTCCCCATTCTTTTCTGGCTACAGGCAAGACAATCTGAATGCATAGAGTTGTGAGATGACTTGCACAGTTAATGTCAAGTTTAATCTGGAAGAAGCATGTATATTGATTTATTTCACTATGTCCACTACAAATCAATAGACTTTAGGTTGCTTATTATAGTGTCAGCAACACAAATATTTTTTTAAACAATCACAATAACATTATTAAACCTATTAGCATCTGCAAAAACATTAAATTCCAAAGATGTAGTGAAGAATTATAGTAGCCATTGTTTTGTAAAGGCAAGAGGTTGAGCCACAGGGTTCAAGCCATTCTATAACACTATAGCAGCCATTGAAAAGACTTGCTTCTTCTTTGTTCTCATATTGTAACTTCTTCAGGGACAGGGATATGAGGCATGTCATCCTGATTTGATCACAGAGAGCCAAAAAAAAAGGATTCTTCTAAGAATAGACTGTATGTCCCAAAGGTAGCCTGTACCAGTCCCTGCAGGCATTTGTAGACCATAACCAGAACTTTGAACTAAACCTGGGAAAAAAAATAGGCAACCAATGCAGTGCCCACAGTACTGGTGTAATTCTGTTAAAACAGCTCCCGCCTCTTGCAGTCATTAGCTAGTCTATTGTATACTAGCAGAAATTTCAAATTATCTTCAGAAGGAACCACTCTTAGAGCTTATTGCAGGAATGCAGCCTGGAAGTAACAAGGGCACGACTTATATGGCCAGGGATCTCTGTTCCACAAAATAGTAGCACTGGCACACCAGACAGAGTAGAGTGAAGACGTCCCTGATCTGGACTCTATCTGATTAACAAGCAGAAGCCACGCAGACAAAATTTCCAGATTTACAGACTTCTTCTTTCAGAAGAAGTGTTGAGTTCCTCTGTAGCTAACATGCAGCTGATAATGAACCATTGACAATTTCTGGTCAAACAGTAACTTCCGTTTTCTTGAAAAGCAGTCTAAGCTTCTTTGATCCCATCTTTTCCCTAACAGCCTAGATAGTGAGTAAAAATAAAAATAAAAAATCAGCATAGGTCAGGATAAGAAATGTGCATTACCTGTTTACTGATGATCCATTACCTTGAAATAATAGAAGTTTCAGATATCCAGATGTTAAAGAAGGTAAGGTAGAGCTCTGCACTAGCCCACATAGGAAGAATCAGAGATTTGATTCTTCAACTTGACATTTAAAGGCAGTCACTACAACCCCCTCTTTGGAACAGCTATGAACTTTTAGCTGAATATGGAAATTTGGGGCAATGATTTCACAAGCATGTTGGTCTTATTTTCCAGGGTGAGGTTAAGATCTGATGGAGCAGCAATCCCTCGTCGTCGAAGTGGGGGTGACACACATAGCCCCCCAAGAGGTTTTGGTCCAGGAATAGATACTCCTCCTCGAGCAGCAGCTTGTCCTAGCAGTCCTCACCTGCTGCCGTTGAACAGAAGTAGGATCGAAAGTCCAGAAAAACGTAGGATGGCAACATTTGGAAGTGCTGGCAGTATCAATTATCCAGACAGAAAGACATTGAGTGATGGCCATCAACTGAGGTCTACTTGTAGCTCAACTCGGCATAGTAGTCTTGGTGATCAGAAATCACTAGAAGCTGAAGCACTGGCAGAGGTAAGAAGAGAGTTCTGTAGAAACTGCATGTTATAAAAATTTTAGACACATCAGATACTTTGGAATGCATTTCAAAAAATTAAATCCATAATGGCTTGGTTTAAGGATTATTAGTTTCTGAACTCAAAGGACGTACATCAAGAATTTTCCAACATCAATCCGTTTATTACTTATGACGGGTCCCCAACCTCTGGGCTGTGGCCCATTACTGGGCTTGGGGGCATTTGGAACTGGGTCTTGGAAAGTATGGGCAAGTGGCAGACAAGTGCATGCATACCCACTTGTGTGAGCAGCGGGCAAGTGTGTGTGTGTGCTCCTGGCTAATATTTGGATGGACTGATTTGATCCTGATTTGGATCAGAAAATGCCAGTTCTATAGGTTAGACCAGGGGTGTCAAACTTGCTGTGTCACATGATGTGCCGTGATGTATCACAACTTTTTTCCCCTTGCCGAAGCTGGGGTGGTCGCAGCTTCCATGCAACGCATCCGGCCCATGGGCCGGCAGTGTGGGGTTTTTTTTGTTTTTGTTTTAAAAAAAAAACCCTCTCTGAAGAAAATACAATATCTCCATGAAGTCACCTGGAACTGGGCTGAACACAAAGGATATTCTCTCTATCACATATGTGAAAAAGAATCAAGCAACAAGCTGTGCAGATCTATCGTGGTCAAAAGGTTTTCTAACTCAAAATATTTTTCTTTATATATCAGAAGATTGCTGATTTACATTAAGGAGGATAAATGGAAGAGAGAAATAATCTTTGCTGAGGGTTTTTAAAAATCCAAAATAGCAAGTAAGCCTTTTAGTAGAATTTAGTAGAATTTATGGACTAAACATAGAATAAATAGCCGTATATTTGCAGGTTCAGCTGAGTGTCTCTTTTCTGTTAGCTGCATGGGTTGCTCAAAGGTTAGTTGATTTTCAGGCTGACATCTTTCAACTTTTTATGTGTGGGTTGTTGATTGAATGATTAGGCTCTCACTTCCAAGCTTTTTTGCTTAGTACCAGTGCTTTTTTTCTAAAAAAAAAAAAAAAAAAAAGATGCCAGAACTCTCACACGTCACACAACCTACCTTGCCTACCCTACAAGGCTCCATCCAAAAAAGGTGCTGGAACTCCGTTCTGGGCGTTCTGTGACAAAAAAAAGCCCTGCTTAGTACTATGACATTTTCCACTACAGAAAACCTAATGGATAGTGCTGTTACATTTTTTAAATAAAGCCACTGGTGATTTGTAGATCCCTGGATATAGTCTTAGTACTGCCATTTTCTTTTTATAGGGAAAAGGGAGCTTTTTCCCCATTTAATTTACACAGCAGTAAGCATTTCATGCACACAACTAGGGCTCTTTCCAAAGCTCTAAAAATAGTTTAAACAAAAATTGGTAATTGTTTGTGTAGGCTGCTTCTTCTAAAGTTAGCAGGGAAGCAAGCTGAGAAGCAATTAGAAACCAAGCATTTCAAAATTCTGTAATAGGTAGTAGAACTCCAGAGAAAGGGATGATTTTTCCCACTTCTTATTTTTATCATAAAACGTGACATAAAGGGCCTCTTATTAATTAGCAGGAAAAAGTACTAAAAATATACATGGGAAGGAAGTATTATAATGTTAAAGAAAAGGAGCAGAGTAACAAATGGTTAGTAAAGAATTGTGAACAGTAGAGAAAAACAAAAATGTAATTGAAAAGAAATGTGAAAAGAGAATTTCCATATAAATTTCTGTATACATGCATAGTAATTCCTGGAGAACAGTTCAGGCTTCAGATCATCCTAATGAATCCCACCCTGGAATTTTTTGATTCACAATTCTTTGGAGCCGAAAAGGTTTAGGAAGATTGGAATTAGACTATCTTAGTTAAATTGGCATTTTTAATAGTTTCTCAGTGATATTAAATGTTGGAGCGCAACCTGATATTCTAAATCTCATATAGCATTTCACTGAATTCAACTGTTCTAGGGTGCAGAATCATGTATAGTCTTGAAAATACATTCTGGTAAGGTTGGCAGAGCATACATAGGGATGGATTCATAAAACTATTCCTCTCAATGACCTTTCCTAAAATTACATAAAATGTATCTTGAGTATTTTGTTCAAGTGAATATTACAGAAATAAGAATAGTGATTCATTGTGACATACACAAAGTTAAATATCACATATATTTGTGGGTTATGATTTAGTAAAGACTATTCAGGAAAGGGATGTTTGAGCTAGGTGTAAATGTCAACCTAGTGTGTTACATCTGTTTAAAAAAAAAAGCACAGGGCAAAGATACCAGTTCCATGGCAGGAACAGTTCGGAAGGGGGTTAAAAATAAAACTGCCAATCTGTAATGTCATTATAGAAATGTACGATATGTTGCATTTGGAGTTCCATTTTGGCCCCAGGAAGTGAACTACAGAACTGGAGAGCTGCAGAAAAGAATGACCAGAATGATTGACTGATTATGTCCTAACAAGTTAGTGTTGACTGTAATACAGAGATACTCTTCCTCCCTGACTGCCTGCTCCTAATGTGATCTTTCGGGTCTTCCAATGGTGCATTCTTTTCTGCTATAACTGAATCTTATCTTGCCGCTTGTCATTGAATGCTTCTTTTTCCTTCCACCTTCTTCAGAGAGCTCCGTAGGTCTTTGCATAATGTGTTCAAAGTATGGTAATGTGAGTCTGGTCATTTTTGCCTCAAGAGGAATTGTTCAATCCATTTGTTTGTTTCTTTGGCTGTCCATAATATCCTTAGGAGATTTTTTCAACACTAAGGTTCCAAAGCATCAATATTCTCCTTATCCTGCTTCTTCAAAGTCCACTTTTCACTTCCCTAGAATGTCAGAGGGAATACTATAGCTTGCACTATCCTAGTTTTCATAGATATAAATCCATCATGGCATCTTAATATCTTCCATGAGCTCTTCACTGTTTCTCTACCAAATGCTAGTCTATGCCATATTTTTTGACTGCTTGTTCTTTTATTATTGATCGTAAAAGGTAGAAGCAATCTATCACTTCAGCATTTTAATTATAAAGTCTAGCCAGAATGATTAGTAGAGTTTAAAAAAATGTATCGTAACAAGCAAAAGTCTCTTTAGAATAAATTGAAGATAGATAAGAGGAGTCAGGGTGTACAAAATGAAATGCGAGGTGGGACAAATCACAGTGTTAGAATTTAGGGATCATGCACTGAAACGAAATATGAGAAGAATGAGAACAGACGAAAGAATCACGTAACAAAAAGCTATGACCATCACTATATCTATGCACAGTGCAGTTTTCCTTAATAAACAGCGTTAGTCACAGTTCACGTCTGAATTTTTTAAGTGGTGCTATAAGTTGGTTTTATCTGTTGAAAGTGATGCAATCCATTATTCAGTAATATTTTATTAAGTAATATTTTCCTAGTTGCCAGCAGAACATCCATTGATTCATTTGCATGAAATTCTGATATTCTCTGGAATGGATCAGTCTGTGCATTTCATTCATTTCTAGAATAGAATGTATTTCCATTTTGACTTGGCCCCGAATTTGACAAATCAGCCTATCAGGAACAGACCATGCTATTCTCCTCATCCCTATTTCTACATTAATATTTGGTTTTGTTGTGCCTGCAAGTCAGTTTTGACTCCTGGGGACTGCCTGGACTAGTCCCTGCAGTTTTCTTCCCAAGCTTTTTTAGAAGTGGTTTGCCATTGCCTTGTCCTAAATACCCATTAGTATTCTGAAAGATCTTTTTCCTCGGTAGCATCATCTGGCAATATATTGTCAGTGATTTTATATTTTCTATCCATGTGGTTTTTCTTGGTTAAAAATACAGGAGTGGTTTCCCATTATGTTCTGTGCAGTGGGAATTGACGCCTTTGCTATTGTCACTGAAGTGATCATCTGCCTCTGATGTCTTCCTATATTGCAGCTGCCCAATCAAGGTGCCTGCTAGCTTTAGCTGGGCAGCTGGGATGACCTTCGCACCACGGGTGATTCCCTTGCTGGGAATATATACTCTTGGCATGCACTCTCTGCATTCTTCACTCATCCCTCCCAGGAACAGCTGCCCCCACTCCCAGGATGAAGCAGCACAGCAGGAACCAGGAGGGAAAATCACTCATAAATAAAAGTAATTAGAAGCCAGTGCAGTTGATTTAAAATTGGTATACCATGGCTCATAAAATGCACACAAGAAAGCAATCTGGCTCCAATAATTTGTACCAGCTGTGGTTTTTGGACACTCTACAAGGGCAGCCCTTATTATTGTTCAAGGGTAGCAACCAATTACTGTGCCTTGTAGCCATTGAAATAGGACATGATTAATGTATAGATTGCTGTAGACATATCCATATGCTTCAGAAAGTGGGGTAGTTGGGTACCCTGGCAAAGATTTATCATGTTTTTATTTTGTTCGTTTATTTATGTCTTCCTCACTCTCGTTTCTTTTGTCCGTGTTTCACTCCCCTGTCCTCTTCCCCTCTTAGTGGCAGTTAATTAGGCTCCAATGGCAAGGAACACCTCTCCTCAATTACTTCTACCTGGTACTTCTACTAGGAGATGCATATTGCAGGTCTTGTCTGCTAAGATGTTCCATCTGACAGGACCCAGGAGACAAGCCTATTCTGCTCTGGTATCTGCCTCTGGAACATTCCCCCCCCCCAGATGAGGTCAGCCCAAAGGTTATGGCCTTCGGAAAAGCCCTGAAAATGGGGGTTTCCGGGTAGTAGATAGCATATAAATTTCACACTCATACAACAGTCTAGTGCACCAGGGACCAGTTCCGTGGAAAGAGGTTTTTCCACGGACCGGAGGGTGCATGGTTTTGTGTGCTACCTGCATCCCACGGACAAGCAGAGACTTGATTACTGTCATCAGTTCCCATGCAAATTCTTTCTTGAGTCATTGTTCCACTTGTGGTTATCTGTATCTAACCTTCTACCTAAAGTAAATAAGAAAGGAAACTAGATCCTCATCTAATTCAAGGAATGGTCACATTCTGTTTGTATTTCTGTGTTTACAGGACATTGAAAAGACCATGAGCACAGCCCTGAATGAGCTGCGTGAACTCGAAAGGCAAAATACTGTGAAACAAGCCCCTGATGTTGTCCTGGATACTCTTGAACCAATGAAGAATCCACAAATTGGTTCGGTCAATTCTGAACCTGCCAGTCCCCTCCATACCATCATGATCAGAGACCCTGATGCAGCTATGAGGCGGAGCAGTAGCTCAACCACTGAAATGATGACGACATTTAAACCTGCTCTCTCAGCCCGGCTTGCAGGAGCTCAGCTGAGACCCCCACCAATGCGTCCCATCAGACCTGTTGTCCAACATCGATCAAGTAGCAGTAGCAGCTCAGGAATGGGGAGTCCTGCGGTGACACCCACAGAGAAGCTCTTTCCTAACAGTTCTTCAGATAAATCTGGCACAATGTAGCTATCACTCTCACAAAGGAGAATTCTTTGGGAAAATGATAGATCATTCTGATCTTCATTTCTTTTCAGAAGGAAGCAGTATGATTGTACAAATGATGTCATTAGAAGAAAAGACATGGAAAACGTGACTCTTGTAAAAAAAAGACGATACTTGAAATTATAGAAGTGGTTTAAGGATTTACACATATAACAACATTGCTGAAAATATTTGGTACTACGCATTGTCATCTTATGTAATTACCACTGGAATATTCAAGTCTGTCTAGAAATATATATGAAACTTTATGTAGCCCAGTAACAATTTAATAGACTTACCTCACCTTTAGATATCTGCTAGAGTGTGTTTTTGCCTGTGTGTGTGAATTACACAGCAACTATACATCAAGCAATAGACTATTGATCAGTTCGTGAACTGAATTTTCGTATCAGTGCAATTTGGCTTTAGAGTTACAAATGAAAAGAAACACTAGTTATCTTGGAAATACTGAATTTGTTTGGTGATGATCAATTCGGTTCTCATAGATGGGTGAATTTCTGTCTTCAAATTCATATCTTAAGGACTGCTTCATTGGAATATGGAAATGTCATTTTCTGGTTGAAGAAGTACTCCAGATAAGGATGCAAACAGTAAAAAGTGGTACAATTTCCCCTTATACAAAAGGGAAATCTAGGATGTTTTGTATGTACTTCATGTTGTAGCACAGTATTATATATGTACAAAAGAAACTCAACTCCCACTGTTTTCAGAACAGAAGAGGACTTTGAAGTAACCTATGGCTGATAACAATAAATAAATAGGCTACCTTATATAGTGGTTGAAATATTTTATTCTCTCATCTCCCTTTTGCTAATGATTCCTCTGGAGAGAAAAAAAATCTGTTTTAATCTGGATTAAAACAGGCAAGGAGGGTTTTAATAAAGTTTTATTTCTTTAAAGTTCCTTAGCAGTATATAAGGGGATTCCTGGGCCATATCCCCTTGCATGAAGAGCATGATCCATATTTGATTGAGCTGGGAATATATCTGAACTGATAACATTTTGCACTTTCTCTACTGTACTATGTAACAATATACAGTGATTTGGGGCTTACAGAAATAAAATTTGTCTCTATACTTTAAAATAGGCAAAAAAGAAAGCAAAACAAAACAACCAAGAATTCTAGCAGTTTGCATGCTTGCCTTGTTTTTTTCCTTTCACTGAATTCAAGGGTCTACTTCACAGGTGTCAAACTCGCCATGTCATGTGACATGTTGTGACATATCGCAACATTTTTTGCATTGCCGGAGCTGCGGCATCCGTATGATGCAACTGGCCAGTGGACCGGCAATTTGACACCCCTGCTCTACTTGCTGCTTTTTTAAAATCAGCATTTATGATCAGATGTTTCTAATACCAGCCCTTCAACTCAGATAGTTTTGTTTACTTTCAATCAGTACACTTATATTTTTAACACTGATAAATCTTACTGAAACTGCACACTCTGTTAAATCTGCATATTCCACTGCTTGATATCTCTTGAATTTATTTTGCAACGGCCATATCTTGAAACAAAAATAAATATTTTCCATTTCTCATCAGAGGTCAATTTTAGTGACTTCTGAGTAATTGGTGACCTTGAATTTGCCTTGCTGCACTTTAACTCATGGTACGCTTTCAGACAAAATTTAATTTATAAGCAATCCATTTTGCCAAAGAGGAAAATACCTTCATATTTATCCTCTGATTCCTAATACCCTCTGTTTTCAGAAATTGCTTAGAAGAGGAACATATTTTATGAAATAACCTTTTCCTCTATGACATTGTGTGAATCTCATTTTCTGTGTCTCATCGGTGAACATGCTTCATTTCATGAATTTGCCCCTTGCCTGTTCTAGCCTGTTTATATATTGCTGTACTTGCTTCCAGTATGAAAAATATCTGCTGAACTGTAATGTTTCTTCTTCATGCTAAATTTTAATTGCGGCCCTGTGACTCCAAATCCTTGCACTTAATAGATAATTCAGTATATTAGAAATGCATCAGTAAAAATGAGAACAGTCTCCAATCCTGAAGGAATTTTGACCTTCTCATATATAGTGTGAAAGGAATGTATGTAGTTATTCTAATATTGTTCCTCGATATAATATTATAATGATAAATGGTGTTTATCTATATGTCTGCTAATGTAGTAGGCATTTGTAATGCCATGATTAGTTAACCGTGCTAGTTTTTCATTTATGAAATTCTTTTAATTCCCCCTCCCAAGTTACCTACATGTCCCTGAGCCTTCCTTAGCATATGAACAGCCCCTAGTTCATTATGACAACAAATATTCCATTTGTGGTAGTAATGAACCAACAAAAGTAGTTTTTGCATAGGTTGGATATTGCAAAGTAGGACAGGTGGGGAAGAGAGAGCCATTTGGCAAACTGTTTTATTTTCATTGCCAGTAATATTTTTTCTTACTTTGCTTTATGGAGAAGAGGTGCTTTGATTACATTTGTGCGTGTTACACATATTTTTGAAAATGACGAGAGCCGAAGAATTATCTGAAGGTTTACTTTTCTCCTTAAAAATAAGATACATTATACTATACAATAATTTTATTAAATTATTTTTGTTTCTATTTTTTATTGGTTGTTAGTCGGTTTTTTTTAACTCTTTAAGTGCCTTTTGAGCACCAGAACAAATCTTTGGATTAAATGTGCTTGGGAGATGGACATATCAAAATATCTCTTGTACAGTTTCTTCCATTTTTCTTATAAGAACAAGGATTGTCTTTAATTTTAAAGGAAAAAAACTATTCCATCTTGTCAAATTGGTGTTGACTATTAGGAATTGTGAAAAAGTCCTTTGTCCAACTCTTTGTAGTTTTAAATAACAAGACTTGGAATGAATCTGATGAAGTGACCACACTTTCTGATAGGAAGTTCTTGTCTCCTTGTTGCATAGGCTTCAGCTAGCAGCAATTTCTCTTTCAAACATATTTTGTTCTGCGGAAATGCTGTTTCCCGATTGCCGTGCACAAGGGAAATTCTTGATAGATTCATCTCTGTGTTTTCAGACACATTTGGGCATGGCTTGACCCAACCCAGCAAAGATTTCAAGGGAGAATGTAAAATGCATACAAGTGCAAATGGGAAGAAAATGTGTTGGTGTGTATGTGTGCAAGAGAAAGGGGAAGGGGAACACACGTTAACTCACTTTTAAAGGGGGGAAAATAAAGTTACTTTTACTGACCAATTCTGTAGACCCCCCCAATGTTATTTGATAAGAATGCTAAATAAACATGCTATTTCTGTTGAGAATATCCCTGTAGCTAAATAATGATGTCCTTAATGATAAATAATAAGAATATTCCTGTTGGCTGACATTTAATCAAACCCAGACATTACATATGGGAAGCTAGGAAAAGAGGGTCTATGGCAATTCACCACGACCAACTCACCATGACCGACTTGTCTGGCCAACTCGCCATAGTCAACTCGCCACAGGACAAACTCACTGCAGGACAAGAGTTACACTAATATCAAAGAAATGGTGGAATAGAATCATTAAAGAAAGGATGGGAAAGGAGGGACAAAAGGAAATGTTAATTTAAAAAAGTTAAATTTTTAAAATTATTTTAAATAATTAAGTTGAATTGTTAAGTTGTCTCACAGCGAGTTGGCTGTGGCGAATTGGCTGTGGCGAGTTGTCCCATTCCAAGGAAAAAAAGATGGGATTTGTCCTATTTATAGAAATTGTATGAAGAAAATGCAAGACAACACATTTTTACTGAAAGAACTGGGAGTGATGGCCTTGATGCTGTCCACCAAGGCAAAGTAACTGACTCTTCCCATAAATATATGTCATGCTTAATTGGAGCTACTTTAGGTAACAGTGAGGGAAATGACTTATTTCTTCTCCCAGCTTTTTATCTTATGAAGGCACTCTTTTTATTCAGCCAAGTGAAATATGTTATGGTGCTGACTTAGAAGCAATTCCACCTGCCCTTATATTATTGATGTACAGAAACTGTCATAAGCAAACTATGTAAATGTTAAAGATTCTTTAATAATATAAGGACTGTGCACTTTTCTTTTTTTAGACTAAACAATTCCCCCTTTTTTTGGAAAACCTGATATTTTGGACTATATTATCAGTGCTGCATTTTTCATAGTATGGCGATAGGCCTTCTGAATCCAGTTTGCTTCTGAGTGGCTGCTTCTTGTTGTTGCCAGAAAACTCTAGGAAACTTCTGGTTGGCTGCCCTATATAATGATTGTTGTCCCTCTTATGAATATTGTCTCTGTAATGTATGATTTTTTAAAAAAGTCCATTCAGTTAGAGTATCTGATTGGATCCTATGTTATGTATGCTATAATGCCATGTAGATCAAACCACTGGTTGGGTACAGACTCATCCTGTTGAATAAACAGTTTACCTTTTCTCAAAATATTATTCCGGTCGTGATTTAATAGTCAGTAGTGTTCTCTAACACATGTATTTATTTATTTATAAAAATGCAAATACTTGGGTAGAATAAAACAGATAAAATGAATAAAATTGACATCCAGCTTCAGGAACAGCCACGAATCTACACATTTAATTACTTTGAAGCAAGGGTTATGCCTATTTTCTCATATTCTTCCAGAAATAAATCCCAGAATCAATATTTATAGCTAAGAAAGAATGGAAGCTTTCTTGAATAATATTAAAAGTAATACTGTAATGATATTGGAAAAAGTGAGACAATTGGAAAATGGATAAAGCATGAATTCTGAAGAATAGCCACCTCAATATTTTATTCTTCTATAACTAGTTTTAAAACAAACATTTAGCAGAAATCTATTTTGAAATAGGATGATGACTTTTCTACTATGTGTCATTTTCAAAGCTGTTGAGTTTATCAAATTCTGTTACATTCTGGAGCCTCAACTTCTAGAGTGCCATAAAAGTAAAGCTATCATCCCAGCTTTATGTGGCCTGTTGCAGTTGATTTGACTGTAAAAGTTACATGTTTGAAACTCATGTTGATTAACACATCTAACAGGGTTTAGAATTCAAGACTGATATTTCAGCAAATGTTATTCAGTCTGTCTCCCCCCCCCCCTTAAATGGCCTTAAAATAAGTCTCAAATAGAGTACAATTTTAGAAATGTTAAGAAAGGTTTTTTTTTCCTAAATTGGGTTGTGTAGGAGACCTATACAGCAGAGTATTGTTCATTCATTTTGATGCTTCACTCATGGGTTGGATGAATAAGTAATATGGTCCCTTTTAAAAATGAACTGCCCATAAAAATTTTAGCCACCAGCAGTACTATGGGTAATCCTGGATTTACAATTGTTTGCTTATTAACCCTTCAAAGTTACAACGGAATTCAAAAAAGCTACTTTTGACATGTCCTTGAAAGTACAACACACACACACAAACACACACTCCTACCCCTATGGTCACATGATTGCATTTCTGGTGCTTGGCAATTGGCTCACATTTATGACTGCAGTGTCCCAGTCTTGACCATGATTTGCAACTTTTTTACTATTTTCTGGCCCAAAAAAATACCCATTGGGTCTGTTGGATTTGCTTAATGATCACATGGTTCACAGTGATGTGCTTTATTGTCAAATAGAATCCAATCACGTGGTGCCTTGATTTACAACTGCAGTGACTCATGACTGCAATATCTAAGCTCAGTTGTAGTGATAAGTCTAGGACTGCTGTATATTTGAGGAAAACACTGCAATGCTTATTGTATAGACATAGCGTAGTTCTCAGGATATGTTTGTTCATTTTAAATGTTTGGTATGCATAACTTCTGAATAATTTTGAGTCAGTATTTTCTACCTCCATGTTGTGTAATTACTGTCGCATGAAGGGAGAGTGCAGAAAGCTTCGTTGGCTCTATCTCATTCTTAGTATGTTCTTTTAGTGAAAGAATATATACACTCAGGGATGAATAGTTTTTACACTTAAGTTGTACTGTGTATTGTACTGTATATTGTACTGAATGTTGTATTCTTAACAGCCATTATGTAGGACAGACAGGGCAAAAGACTTAACTGCGCATCCATGAATACCAAGTAGCCAGAAGACACAATTAAAACTCCTTAGGCTCACAATACATGTACAGATTCAATCATAGTTTCAGCTGGAAAACTGTGAGCATCCTATCTTCTTCTTCTTGTGCCGTATCCGTTATCGGATGTTGGTGATCATGTTGGCGATCCTGTTTTTATCAGCAGCCACACGAAAAAGTGCTGCTGAGTTTTGTCCAAACCAATCCCTTAGATTTTGAAGCCACGATGTTCTTCTTCTGCCTGGACCTCGTTTGCCTTCAATCTTTCCCTTGAGCATTAAATGGAGTATGCCGTATTTTTCTGGGTGTCGCATCACATGTCCGAAATATTCTAATTTTTGTTTTTTAATTGTTTTGATGATTTCCCTTGGCAATCCTATACCAAGCTAAATTCCTGGAAAAGTGTGGAGAATTACTGGAAGCTTGGCATTCAGACAAATCAATAAATATAAGAATAAACCATATTTAAACATCATTCAAAAGAGGCAATAAAAATACCTAAGAAGGAATCAAAATCCAGAATGCATTTTCTATTGCGGCCAATACACAGATAAGCAAGGATTAATACCAGACAAATAAGCAGAAAACAATGAAACTACCAAAGAGAAATATATACCCCCACCAAAGTACTGGATATAAATAGGGAGAGAACTCCACATTTACTCACACTGGTGATGTTACCTAGTTAGGTAATGAAACATCTGCAAGAAAACAAGTTCAAAGAGTACCAAGGACTTCACAAGAGGTTTAGTGTTCGAAACATGCATGAATCAAGGAGGTTTCCTACATAATTTGACTTTGGGAAGATTGCAGTTATCATTCCCAAAGCTATTTCAGTATGTGGAGATCTATGGGCAGAAACCAATGGTTTATCCCTGATGTGGTAATCCCATGGATTAGTTATGAAATGTCTGAATAATATACTGTTATTATAGGATGTCAGTAATGCTTTCATATTGCTAGCAGTATTTCAGATTTAATTTTAAGAAGTACTGAAGAGTATACGGGGCCAAAATGTAACAACTGTTGCAAATCTTTAAAATAGCTGCACCATTTCATGGGCTTATGCAGCAGTCCTCCATAACCAAACCTCACATAATCTTTTTTTGCTCTTCACATTTAACAACATATCTGAATTAGAGATGTCGATCTAGCTATTTTTTTCCTCAGATCTGAACCAAAGTGTGTCCCAGCAATGTAATCTGAACAATAGGGCACCAAAGTCTGAAAGAATTATAAATGATATTTACTCAAACATAAAGTGTCTAAAAGAAGTTGATCACAATACAACCATTCTCTACAGTAAGATTAAATACATTAATTCATGGAGTCTGTTAAATGAATAAATGAAAATTGAAATTGGCTGGAGCACTTGATAGTTATTTAAAATATTTATGACATATTTCATCCTGTTGGATTTCAGAACAGTAAAAATAATGGACTGAGCATCATTTGTGTATGGCAAATATATCAATTTATTTGAATGCTTGGGAGAACATCTATACAACATATAGTTATCCAGTCTTAGATGCTTTTCAGAAAACTGACTCAATTCAACAACCCTTTCTCCCAGATAAGTAATCACAGAAGTGTAAGCTTAATCTTAAATCATGAAATGATTTACCCCTGTTGAATTTGATGATATTTAGTTTGTAGGAGACATTTTAAATATATTTAACATATATGAGAATAGATTCTCCTTGCTTTTCTGTAACTGCAATTATATTGAATACCTTTTTTTCATTGGAAAAAGGAAAAGTGATAGGATGCTGTACAATTGCATAGCTACAAAGCTGCTTTCTGCATTATCAAAAATCAAAATTGGTGCCATATGGAATGTAAACAGTAGTAAGTACAGTAATGTACTTTCAAAGAATAAATTAATGATAAACACATACTTGTTCTCTCAAACCATTATGGGTAATGGCTTGATATAATGGTGTGCAAGAAGGTCTAATCCTACAATTAGCAAAAAAAAAGCAGTTACTTCCAATGGCAGACTGGGTCAGGCAGCCATCGGGGCTAAGCTCTGATTCTCTATACAATGTAGAACTTCATTGTGCCCAAAATGCATGGGAATCCTTTCAATTGCACAATCCAGATAATTGTTGGCTTGTATGTATGAATGCCTTAATTTTCATGGATTGTACATGGCACAGTACATTTTCAGCATCATCTCACATGGGGACTATCTGTTAAAATGATACCTTAGTGTTTTGGTATGCATACAATTCTTAGTTATCTTATTGTAACAAACTTCTAATATGCCTCTTATAGTTAAACCAATAGCTTCAGAATTATTGGATCCATTTAGAGCTTTTGAAGTTTATTTATTTATTTATTTATATTTCTAAACCACCCATCTTCCTCAAAGAGGAACACTGGGTGGTGTAAAATAAAACATCAAAATATAGAACAGTATATACAAAATTAAAATGTTAGAGTTAAAATTTTGAGTTAAAAACTTATTAAAAAAATAATTTTCTTAAGAAGGCAAGAATAATTAACTCTGTTAAAAATTGGTTGACAAACGCAAAGGGAGGGTTCTTGTAGCATTAACCAACCTTACAACTGCATGCTCCTTCGGACTCCTCATGCAAGGCCGCACAGCCATGTTTTGACCCCTTTTCAGAAGGCCAGAAGAATGGAGGCATGCCTCATCCCCCCTGGGGAAGAATATTCCATAGAGTTAATATAGTGCCATACGGTGCTTTTTTGTAAAAAAAAAAAAAAAAAAAAAAAAGGTGCCTGAACTCACACACATCATACAACCCGCCTTGTCTACCCTACAAGGTTCCATCCAAAAAAAGGTGCTGGAACTCCATTCTGGGTGTTCTATGACAAAAAAAGCCCTGGTGTCATATGTCTTCTTAAATCTTTGCCTCAGAAAATGATATCAATCAATCAATCAATCAATCAGAATAGGAGAGACCTTGAAGGTCTTCTAGTCCAGCCTCCTGCCAAGCAGGACACCCTACGCCATTTCAGACAAGTGGCTGTCCAGTCTCTTCTTAAAAACCTCCAGTGATGAAGCCCTCACAACTTCTGATGGCAAGCTGTTCCACTGGTTAATTGTCTTCACTGTTAGGAAGTTCCTCCTTAATTCCAGGTTGCTTCCCTTCTTGATTAATTTCCATCCATTGTTTCTTGTCCTGCCCTCTGGTGCTTTAGATAAAAATATAAACTGCATGTCTAAGGTTATATTGCTCTCCTTTTGCCAATACAGTCTTTTACAAGCTAAAATGATTCCAAAATGTGACTTAGCAATGGATGACTTTCAACTAATTAAATCCTGGTACACATTTTTACATGAAGGCCTATAAAATAACTGCTCATCCCATCTCACCAAATCACATAACAGGAAACTGAGCTGTAT